CCTTAATGTTTGGAAACTTCTTTCTTAATGATGTTGCCTTTTTGAAATTTGATATACATATTAAGTTAGTTTTTTAAAAAATCTTTGGACTGAATTTATTGGGATGCAGTTGCTAGATTAAAAGGAGGGCAGAGAGCACAGAATAAACAAGACGGTGAGATTGTTTTTTACAGTTCAGCTAGCTACTCTTTATAACTAAATAAATCTATTACTATTACACCACCATAGTTGGAAGTGAGAAAAAATTCTAAATTTGAGTATGTTTCTATGAAAATTTTTGAGAAAAGAAAAAATAGCTTGAAATTGGACACCAGGTTCATTGGCTCTTGCTGGATGGTAGGTACACTTCAAGAAGGAACCTCACCTGACCTTTGAAAAAAGGATGAGTGCTCATTCTGGCTACTTTCAAAGAAAGTTTGAATGTGATTCTGGTCTTCAGAGTTCTTTGTATTTTCTGGCATGCTCTGGAGGGTGGTAGGGGAAGAACTGCCCCACATCTTACCATTCTGTTTTAAGGATTAAGGGTACCCAGGGAAGGGCTTTTTTGTTCTTTTGTCCCTGTATAGGTAAAATGCCTTATTCTTATAATTATAAAGCAATATAATACAGCTGTTACCATATTCTAAGAATGGCCTATGAAATAAGTGTTTAATGACCAGGTTATAAAAATTTCTCCTGTGAAAAATTGAATAAAACAGCTGCTTTTTCTGCTTCCTAGTCTTGTAATATGAGAATTAAAAAAAAAATCACAGCAGTCCAAGTGAGTAGATCAGTTATTGCTTCAGAGCTATAGAAGCCAATGATTTTGGTCTAGTGCTTAATGCTCTTTTTTTTGTCATGAAGTAATGAAAATAGAAAGTTGCATTATCATTCCTGCAGTGGGAATACTAGCTTTAACAGTGCATATAATCTCTTAGCATGTTCTTATATGTGGTTTTAAAAAGCTTTTCTAAGATCAGATTTTTTAAGCTTGATTAATGATGAGAAATGTATGATTCAACATATAAATATTTGCTTTTAACCCACCTTTTAGACATAGCACAAAGTTCAGGAATATTAGGAATAGTTGGATGACCAAAGCATCTTTCCATATCAGAGCACAAGTCACCAATACAGGCCACAAATCATTTATTTCCCAAATATAGACACAAACATTTATATTTCACTTTGGCAGTAGAAACTAGGTGAAAAGTAAATTTTAAAATAGAAATTCAACTATTTCACACTTGCATTATGTTTTTAAGCCTTTTGTTACATATTTAGAGACTCACAGGACCATAAAGTTATATATATAGGTTGTGAATATCCTATATGAATTTGAGGATGAAAAATATTTGTGCATTTACTTACATAGCCTTGTATTGAGTTTCATTTTCAGAACTGAATAATGGCAGTCATTAATAATAACAGGCACACACAGACAGACACACCTTAAGGCTATACTAAACTACAGCCTTATTCTTTTTTTTTTTAAACTAGACACATTGGGCACCTAGTATGTGCTTAGCACTGCTAGGCACATAAAGGTGAAGTGGGGTAATGGAGTCAGACAGCCTCAGTCTCCCATGACCTTGCAACAGTTAAGTCATCCACATGCACAAAATTCGACATTACCCAGTTCAGTGTCAGAGAGAGTTGTTTCAAAGTTCGGAGACCTGTGTCATCTGACGTAGGGGGTTCAGAGGCCTGCTTGATGGCAGGCTTGAGCACAGTATATTCTGGATCTAAGAGACCTATATGAATAGTTGGATAATCAGGGAGATTCAGCAAGTATTTCAGAAATATTCACTTCAGGTATTCCTCTGTCAGAATACCTAGCCATCAATCCAGAGTTGCTTTTAAGAAGTTGATGCATGGAGGTGGCAGAGAACACACGAATTGTTAGTGAGCCACTGTATCGGGGGAAATGTTGACCCAAGTGCGGACTTTGTGTAAGAGGCGATCTCAAGTTTCTGATGACCTTTGAAGGGCCCGGCATTCACCTCTTCTCACCTCACTGCTGATGTGACAGAAGCAGCTGAAAGGAGTCAGAGGCAGCCACTGGAGAGTGAGCACTTTCCCTACAGGCTGCCTCTCTGCCACGTACAAGGTCAGTCACCAGCCAGGAAAACTGCTCTTACATTTGCCTGGGAACAGAGCTGTGCAGCTTTGTCTTAGAGTTAACTCAAGTTTACCAGACCAGTATGCAAGCTCCGACTACTTTTCAGAATTGAGCAAGGAGAGGTCAACAGAAATGTTGGAGGGAGGATGTACATATATTACAGTAGGGGAGGTCCACTTTCATGAATGAGCCCCCAGTGTCTTCAGAGGCTTCTATGAAGGCAAAATCTGATGAAAAACAAGGTACCTGTAACTCACCTTTGTGAAGTCTAGACCCCATATTTACCTCCACCTGGAGAATCTTTATAAGTAACTGATACTTACTAAGGATGACATGAAAAGAGGTATTCCCTCAAGAGGACTCTTCCTGCCCCAAGTGTCACTTCCTACAGGATTTATGCAAATTTACCCTCAATTCCTTACCACCCTTGCATCATTTTATTTTTTGCAAAGCAACCAATTCCCGACGGTGACAGAGGAAGTTATTTCTCCCAGCATCGTAGATCATAGTGGATTTCTACTCGAATCCTTTCTTGCCAGCTATTGATTTGCTTTAAAGTTGGTGCTACCTAACAGAGTGACTGTATTCATTCTCCTTTCGTTTTTAGTGAAGCAACTTCAAATATTTCTCCCTCAAATAAAGCCAGCTTACATATTTGGATTCTTTTCCATATCAGCTTTACTGATACAAGTTTGTACTGAAATTTTTAGTAGTCTGGAAAGTATGAAGTGGTAATGGGTATAGTCTGTGTGGCTATTGTAGATGCATTCTACATAATAGGATAGTTTCACTTGGTATACTAATATAGCTGTATAATTCAGATAAGCCATCAATAAAAATTTCATGTTTTTGGCAAACACCAGGTAGGTGCTGGTTAGTTTTAATAGTAGAGGAGACCTTTTAAATTTTTTTAAAAAGGTGTTTTTATTGATTTTTAGAGAGAGAGGAAGGAAGAGGTAGAGAAACATCCATATGAAAGAGAAACAATCTGCCTCCTGCACGCCCCCTCCTGGGGATTGAGCCCACAACCTGGAATTAAACCAGTGACCTCTCGGTGCACAGGATGACATTCAACCAAAGGAGCCACACCCGCCAGGCAACCTTTTACATTTTTGAACAATATGCCTTCCTAAAATCCCAAAGACGCAATACAATAGAGTATGTGCTTTTACCTCAAAATGGAATGAACACCAAGTTGAACTGCGGCACAGGCCATAAGCCGGTTCACTCACTGGCTGAAACCCATGCTCAGTGTCACGGTGTGTCGGATTTTGTGCTACAGCCAAATCAACTACGTTAAAGGTTGTGGGCTGGGGTGGGGTGGAGATAAAGAGAGTCAAGGCCAAATAGGAAACCTAGGGAGACTAGTTTGCTTCTCATTTTATTACTCTGCTGTTTTACTCAACTCTAGCCCGTGAGGCCAGTAACTCAGTTTTCAATACATGGTAAGCCAAACCAGAGGGAAAAAAAATGCCTATTAATTTATAGAAGCTTGATAAAGTATTTCTGGAATATTTTAAAAAATGGACAGCGTTGTGCATTTGTCATAGACTGATTATGTGATTTAAAAAGAAACCTGTAGCTCTGCGCAAAAGACATCAAATTGCAACAGCCTGAATTTTGCTGACCAGCAGACGAGGTTCTGCTGGTGTGAAGGCTGAGTCAGAACAGCCAATAACATGAAAGCTGTGCAGTATATTTTGAACACTTCTGTTTCTAGAATATGAAGGATTTGAGGTTGTTTAATTCTTTTTCATAACTGGTTAAAAAAAATTCTCAAAGCAAAGTTTAGGGTTTTTAGTGTGTTTTATAATTTGAAGAAAAATGTCAAATTTTAGTATCAATAGAAAGATAAAATTTGGATTTTACTTCAGAGGAACACACATTTCATTTTAAAAGTTGTAATTTGCTCCACACCAAGAATAAGCAACCTTTACATTTACATGATAGTTTTGTACAGCAAGGTTTTAAAAATAATTTACATTAAGAGACAAGTATGACTTGGGTCCATAGATCTTCAGTTAATCAGAAAGGAAAATGGAGCTTTTTAAACATGAAATTCTGGACTACTTCAGGTATTCAGAGCATCCATTTTCTCTTTAGCAGGTTTGTCTTCAAATAGTGAGATAGATGCACTAATATTTCTAATCCATAAGCAATATCAAGAAAGCTATGTATAATAAATATGTAAGTACAGTGTCAGTACAAACCTTACAAAATAAATAAATTTAAACACCAACTCAATCTACTTTTGCTTTAAAAAATGGTTAGGTTTCTTCATAAGATGTCACAACTCAGTAGATATTAAATTACACATCATTCTAAATACATTCTGTGAAAACCAAAAGTGGAATAATTTGTGAATATACAAGCAATAAACTTTAAAAAAAACCCCAACATCATTCTGTATGTAAAAAGCAATCCTAAAGAAGAGTACATTATGGTACAAAATATGGAAACTAAATTGAATTCCTCTTTAATGAATCTTATAGGACATATTTACATTTGCAATGCCCCCAAGCTTCCAATTCTCAGGCATAAAATGCATGTCTAAACTAGCTTGCTTGTTTTCAGACCCTTTGTTCCCAGTTTTCCAAGTTCAGCAAACTATGGCCTGGGGCCAAATCCAGCCTGCCACCTGTTTATGGCTCCTGAATAGTTTTTACACTTTTAAGTGATTGAGAAAAGACAAAAGAGGAACATTTGTGACATATGAAATTATATGGAATTCATTTGAGTGTCTAAATAGTATTATTGGAGCCCAGCCACCCTCATTCATGGATGTATTGCCTACGGCTGCTTTTGCACTATTTCAGCCAAGCTCAGTTGTTGCAACAGAGACCATATGGCCCATAAAGCTCAACATATTTAGTATCTGGCCCTTTGCAGGTAAAGTTTGCTGACCCCTGTTCTAAGTCAGTTATTGCAAGCTTAGTCATATTTCTTTTCTTTTTTTTTCCTTTTTAACAACTGTTGACATTTATAAAAGGACAATCTCCTGGGCTTCTTTGCTTCATTCATCAGGAAAATGGTTGGTAGCTAGCCCTGTGCCATTTCGCTTGTCCTCCATGTGGACCTCACATCGTGTGTGATGAAAGCTTCGGTCCAGAAATCATCAGTTTCCAGTTTAAGTTGAATGAAAGCAAGGAAAATACGTATTTTTCCACCACGCTCATTCTTGACTTTAACTTCTTGCCAAAAGGTCTTCACCTGTGAAGTTGCATCCATAGGCTAGTTAGTATATTGTGAATGGAGGAGCAGAAGCATTTACAGTGCAGCAAGCGTGTAGTGTTCAACAGAAACCCACAGCTCTGGTGGCTGTGTTTGGGGGACAGACTACGTCTGATACACTCAGTGTTATAACATGATGTCCCCAGGAGGTGGACCATGAGGCTTTTTCTGTCCCAGAACACCACATTCTTCACAAAGATTTTTCTTTCTTTTCTTTTTTTTTTTAATCACAATCAAACTGTTCAACTTTTTTTAAAAGGTGGAATTCCTTTAACAACGGTATTTATTCGGATAAGAGTAGGTAAATACTCATTTAAAAATTCTCAGAATATTTATTAAGGGGGAACTCTTGACACTTGAGGGAGGAAAATTTTAGAACAAACATGAAATATGTCAGCAGAATGCATTGAAAATACGAAGCTTGTTTTCTGATGAGAACAGACAGAAAGGCCCTTTCTTTTTCCAAGTGCTCTTGCTCGGAGCACCATTCATAAAGGAGCTCATGACGTGGAATACGGATTCCCAGAGGTGCACCGATGGCAGGTTTTAAAGAGAAGCTTCCCCAAGTTCAAGTAAAGCTGCAGTCAACTGAATGATTCTGAATGTCTGCTGAAAACTGAGCCCAAAGACATTTATCTAAACCCCCACCCTCCCTACTCTCCTCAAATAGGAGCAATCAGTAATGCTCATTATAGCAAGCACATAATTTTTAAAAAAATCCTCACCTGAGAATATTTTTTGATTGATACTTAGAGACAGTGGAAGAGAAAGGGAAAGACAGAAATATCGATGTGAAACACATTGATTGGTTGCCTCCTGCCCACACCCCGACCAGGGCCTGGGCCGGGGAGGAGCCTGCAACCGAGGTACCTACCCTTGACCAGAATTGAACCTGGGACCCCTTGGTCCGCAGGCTGGGGCTCTATCCACTGAGCCAAACCTGCTAGGATACAAGCACGTCATTTTTTAAATATATAATTTTTTACTGATTTCAGAGAGGAAGGGAGAGGGAGAGGGAGATAGAGACATCAATGATGAGAGAGAATCATTGATCGGCCAAGCATGTCATTTTTAAGTCAAATTTCTAGTGGAGTTGTATTCTTAGGTACTTAATGTAATCTTGTAGCACGAGGGCTCTTTATGTGCAGAGTGTAATTTAGCTGTATTGTTACAGAAGTTATAATAGAGAGGTATGTATAACATCACACCTATGATTTATTTGTTGCTAACTTCTTGATATACAGAAAACAGTATAAAAATTTTATTGATTGATTTTTAGAGAGAGAGAGGAAGAGAGAGAGGGAGGGGAGGAGGGAAAGAGGGAGAGGGAGAGAGAGAGGGAGAGGGAGAGAGAAAGGGAGAGGGGGAGAGAGAGAGATTTTTTTGTTCCACTTATTTATGCATTCACTGGTTGATTCTTGTGTGTGCCCTGACAAAGGATCAAACCCACGACCTTGGTGCATCACGACCAACCGAGCAACCGGCCAGGGCCCAGTATTTTAAATTTCGATCTGTCCTTAGGGCCTGCTCCAAGACCCACTACCACAGTGAGTCACTTCCTAAAAGCTGGGGCGGTTCGACACCGGTGCTGTAATCCTAAAGCTCACTTGGCTTTTGGAGAAGGCGCTGGTTATGACAGGAAAGGAAGTGAGTCCGGAACTTTTAAACAATTGGGATACCAACTGTATCTCAACAGGAAATGGGACAGCCCAGAGCTTTTCTGTTCTGTGCACATCCGCCGTTATCTGACGATATGTGACACGGACGCTGCCATCCTTTGGAGATTTCTTCCCAATGAGTCTGCTTAACTGGAACAATCCCGCCTCCCTGGGAATAGCGGGGTAGGCAGATACTCTGGAGGAAGAGGTTTCCTGGATTTGGCCTTGTCTGTGGTTTTGAAAGAGCTTTGTAAGTGGTATGAGGCACCAGTTATTGTAGGAGTTCGTCCTTGAATGTGAAAACGTGGGCTCTCTGTGTCAGGCTTTCTTTTCGGCTGTTACACATCAAAGTTGGCCTTGTCTAGAGAGGCCAACTGTGAGCGCCTACAGTTTAATATAAGAAGGTCCTGGTTGTGATGGAGACGGGCGAGGGAGCCTTGCGGTACAACCAGCAGCGCCTTCATGTGGTCTCTGGTGAATTTTAACTCTGAGAACCACAACCCAACAGGTGAACAGTGCGCTTTGACAATCCCTTTGGTTCATTAGGAAACTAAGTTAAAAGAAGAGATCTGTGTTTGGCTTCCTCATATGCTTCTTTTTTTAAAAAAATTCAGGTTCCATAGAAATAATTTATATGAAATGTACTCTGCATGTGAATACCACACAGGGAGCTGGCAACTGAGGGTGCAATTTACTGCTGTTGCAAGATGGAGCCTGTTACGTTATTTTGCTTTCTTGTTAATCATCACACCCCGAATGCCAGAGTTTAAGTTTTTAAATGAGGCAGAAGGAGTTGAGTTTGTTGAGGTCAAATCAAACCTCAATTAGAATAACATAAAACTAGACAGCCAAAGGAAGGAAAGCTGGATGACTCACAGCAGCCCTTCAAGAGTGTTTGAGTGACCAATAATCAAAACAATTCTATGGCTGATGAAATATGGCTGATGTAGTTTGGGAAAATTGGTTGTCCTCTTAGATCCTTTGTTGAGTTCTATATAAAATAATGTCTGCCCAGCTGGTATAGCTCAGTGGATTGAGTGTCATCCCATGGACCAAGAGGTCCCAGGTTTGATTCCTGGTCAGGGCACATGCCTGAGTTTCAGGCTTGATCTCCAGTAGGGGGCGTGCAGGAGGCAGCCAATCAATGTGTCTCATTGATGTTTCTATCTCTCCTCCCTTCCTCTCTGAAATCAAGTTTTATATATATATATATATATATATATATATATATATATATATATATATAATTTTTTTTTTTTTTTTAAAGGAGGTCTACAATGATAACTTCTGAAGGTACGTATATCTTCAGAGCCCTTTTCCTCTTGTGGTACCATTCCTCCCTCCCGCAGGGGACACCTCATTTGGAAAAGATAAAAGATACTGTACAAATTATGCCTTACAAAGTAGTGTAAGTGGGCCTCTGGTTCAGAATGGTGCAAAGACGTAGTGTACCTGGTTAAACACGCTGCCCATGGTCACTGTCGATAGTCCATCGTGTCGCTGCCACCCACAGGTCTCTCCTCTTTGTTTTGGACACTTTCCGAAACCAAGACCTGAGAAGGTGATGTGAGTCCTCGGGGCTGTTTAGTTGACTTGGTGAACTTCTTGAATTCACTTGCAAAAGAAATGCCTTTTCTCTTGTCTTCTCGGGATGCCTATGAGAAGAAAGAACGCTCCATTGGTATTAAGTTAAAGCTGGCATCCTCAATCAGGGAGCAGTATATCAGAAAGGGCCCCTTTCGCTTCCCCGTCTATGACTGAGGGCCTTCCCTCTCAGGATTGCTTAACCACAGAGGGGAACACATTTCCTGCATTGAAAACAAAGCCAAACAATCTTCTCCCCGTAAATTTCTTGACTTTCTCCTAGATTTCACTATCTCTCAAATTTGATTACAAATTAGTTATGAATATCAAATAACTGGTGAAGAGAGTAAAATAACCTTGAAGTTTACCTGCACCTGCTCCTTTAGCTTAAGGATGAATTTTCCTGCTCCTTTCCACTTGCTTTGGGCTTGAAACACACACTCCTGATCCAAAAGGACCCGCTGGGAGGACTTGGGGGTAGAAGACTTCTTGTTGGCTGTGTCTTTCACCACCTCTTCCAAAAGTACGTAGTCGTTCGGGTTGGGGTTGCTCAGGATGCTGTAGGAGTACTTGGCTTTGCATAAGGTCTGAAAGATAAGTTACAATCAACTGGATAAAGACAGTGTCTCCAACTCCTGCATTCATTATAAATGAAACTCGAAGGTGGCAAACAATCACAGGCTTTTAGAGACGATGGGGATCTTTCAGATCTTGTTATCCTACTCCTCACTTTCCATCTATATGGTTGTGGCTTATGACATGCTTTCCCACATTATGGTTTAGCTTCACAACACTCCATGTTTATTCATTATTATCCCCCCCTTTCAGATGAGGAACTTATGCAGATTCCAGAGGATGAGAAGCAAAGAAGCAATAGAATAAATACTGGAAACAGATTGTGTGCATGAAAACAAAGCTCATAGACATGAAGGTCATGCGACAGTGAGGGACAGACCCCCGAACCCACAGACGACTCCCTGTCCCACTGGACTGCCTCTTCACCACAGAATCTTGGATGTTAAGGCATTTTAGAACTTAGTTGGCCTCACTTTTCATTTCGTGCAAGATTATCTTTCATTTATGCATTTATTCAGTCATCAAATGTTTAGTGCCCTAACCGGTTTGGCTCAGTGGATAGAGCGTCGGCCTGTGGATCGAAAGGTCCCAGGTTCGATTCCGGTCAAGGGCATGTACATTGGTTGCGGGCACATCCCCAGTGGGAGGTGTGCAGGAGGCAGCTGATCGATGTTTCTCTCTCATTGATGTTTCTGACTCTCTGTCCCTCTCCCTTCCTCTCTGTGGAAAACCAATAAAATACATTTAAAAAAAAATGTTTAGTGAGGACCTACTATGTCCCAGATACGTTGGGGGCACAAAGGTCAACAAAAGAAGCTAAGTTCAAAGTCTATACCAACCAAATCATCAATAATAGTGAGTAGCACTTAAATTGTGCTTACCATGTGCTAGACATTGTACAGTTTACATATATTACTGACTTAATCTTCACAACAACTCCGTGAGCAAAATACTATTATGCTATCACCATGTTATCTAAGTGGTAACTTACCACATGGTGGTATGTGGGGCCATATGAAACAGGCTAGTAAAATCAGATATGGTGGGAGCTTTTATACAACAGAAATCAACAAATGCTACGAATCAGAGTGTCTTTTTTAAGCATACCACTGTAACTAAGGCACAGATAGTTAAATAACTTGCCCAAGGTCTCAGAGCTAGTAAGAGGTAGAGCTGGGATTGGAACCTCGAGCCTTTTAACCCAGAGTCTGTGCCATCCACCATTATACTATCCTACTTCTCAAGGGTGTTTGATGAATGCAAACCATGATAAGGCTTTGAAGGAAGGAAATACAGTTTCTGAAACCATGGACACGGGGAAGCAGGACCTAGAGGTGGGAGAGGGTCAGAGTAGGCCTGCTTGCCCTCTGAAGATGGCCATTCGGTATTGGCTTCGGCATTTCTGGGAAAATGAAATGACTACTCTGCAGAGCCACGTCCTACAACATTTTCACCAGTGCTTCACCCGGGGCCTGACTCATGTAGATACTAGGTAAGTTATCTGTTGAAGGAATAAACTATTATTTCCCACTTTCCCTTTGTAGGTCCCCACTGGTCTAGGAACTTCATTAATAGAACGGGCTGGCATCTGACTTGTCCCAATAATGTACACGGAGGACAGGACTGAGGTGAGGGAGGGCTCCCACCTGCTGAATGACGTCCTGTGCGGTGCTGACGCGCGGCGCTTTGATGACTGTCCGCGGCTGCTCTGGAGAAACATCGTGCACTTGGACAAAGAAACTCTCCTCCTCCGAGCTCAAGATCACCTCCCTGTCATCTTGAACAATGCTTTTCTCTTCCAGGTTCTATATTAAAAGAGAAGAAAAGAGTGAGTAAATGGAGAGATGATGTAGAGTAAGGAAAGAAACATCAAACAAAAATGTGAAATGCATCTTGGTAATGTGGAAATAACTTCTTAGCTTCCTAGTTTATATGTTAGTTAATATTTCATAAATTATTCTAGAAGGACATACATGTCTTAGACAAAAAAAGTACTGTTTCTGCTGATACAGATAGACTGACAAGGTCTGGCCCAGAACAAGCTAGTAGATCTGCTCCTATTAGCTGTGGATTATGAGCCCAATCAACTGTAGGTAAGTTTGTAAAAAGACAATATACCATTTTGCCAATTACCAAAAGCCAAATAAGAACACAGCAAATTACATTTAAGAGAAAGCCCCCCACCCCCCAATCTCGCATAGAGCTTGAGCATTTAAGAAATGCTAGACATCTACAGTGTGAAGCGTGAAACTGACATTCAGCTTAAATGAACAAAATCCAGAGTGAAAGGTGGACATGATGGCTGGAGGTAAGTCACACTGAAATGAATATCGACACTTTGTAAAGTGTACAATAGTCTAACAACTATGCTGCACACCTGAAAGTAATACAAAATAACATTGACAGTAAACTGCAATTAAAAAATAAAATTTAAAAATATAATAAAATAAAAATTAGGATTTGATCTCTTAAAAAAAAAGAAACAAACATCAACAAAATACTAAATACTCATGATAATTAGTTATCAGGTTGATTGGCTTTTGGTGAATTGGCTTCCAGTGAATTTTACATATGTAATTATATATATTACCTATATAGTTAGAGACATCTATAGTACAGAAACACAGAGATAAAAAGGCAAACTTTTCCCACTGTCACCCTTTTTCCTTCTCTCTCCCATCTCATTCTCCACAAAAAAACACAAAAACCCACTGTTGTTAGGTCATATGTTCTAAACATCTGCTATGGCTATATAGATGTATTTTTGTATATGTGAATAGACAGATACAAGGAAACCCTGGAATTATGTGAATTTAAATATAATATGATTGTCAAATGACTCCTGTTCTTTGTTAGTCCCACTAACAAAGAGGGTAGTTTACAGTTATCTTCTGCAGGGAGCGGCAGGGAGGGGAAGGCGAGACAAAGCAAGTAAACAGTAGGCAACCCATCTCAGGGAGGGAGGATTTGGCAGGGAGTTCCCCGACCTCCAGCACTCTCCAAGCCTAATCTCCTCAGACCAGGCCACTGAAATGGTGCTAACTGGCCAGAACCCAAGACCACTGTCACTATCCTGAAAGTTAAAATCAGCCACACAGGACCCAGAACTGTACCCATGAATATTAAAATCAAATGGGTAACTGCCACCAGATGGCACCAAACTGTAGCCAGGACCAGAAAAGATTTGCCAACCACCCACACAGGCTTGCCCCAATCATTGCATTAACCTTGCAGTCATGGAATTTACATGACTGAAGTTTTTGGACTCCATTCATTCTATTAAGGACTGGTGGGGGAGAGTTATTGTCTATGTTTACTACCTAAAATGAGACTGTACTTTACTACATACACTGTTCTACCACTCTTTTCCTCCACTTCAAAGATTGTGGCCATTACATTTTGTTAATTCCTAGAGATTTTGCTGCATATGTGATGGCATTGATTATGATATATCTAACCAATCGGAGAATGGGGGTAGGTGGTATTTCACATGACATCTATATATATAAAAGGCTAATATGCAAAGTGTCCCCTTGGGAGTTCGACTGGGAGACCAGGAGTTTGACTGCTCGCTATGATGTGTGCTGACCACCAGGGGGCGACACGAAACAAAGGAAGGCCCCGGCCAGCAGTCGGAAGGCAGGCCCTCATTGACCCTGATTGCCAGCCAGGCCTAGGGACCCTACCTGTGCACGAATTTTGTGCACTGGGCAGGAAGTTACTGGGCTTCTATCGGTTTATTCAGAAAAAAAAAAAAAGGGCTTCATCAACAAACCCCAACAGAAGCCAACCAGTCTGGAGTTGGTGCTGTGCTGTTTCCTTCTCGGGAGCTATCATGGGAGTATCAGCGAACATAACAATATTTAGTACGAGTTCTGATCAAAGCTGAGAAATTATTCTTACTTTATGTGAAGTTACAGAATATTTTTTTAAAAAAAATACTGTTGTTTTAGTTATAAGTGCTGAGCCATTTATTAGCTACAACTTTAATAGGCACTAATAGGAACACAACCAACCCCAAAATGCACAACAATGCCTACAGGCCTCGAATTACCCAGTTCTGTGACCCTCACGACAATGTCTTCTCACACATACAAATAAAACAGCCGACGAAACAGCTGATGACATGCATAAGGAATCCACTGAGTTCTTGCTCGCTTTGTTTTAGAAGGGATGACCTTTAGGCTGAATTTCTGTAACTTAAGAGATAACATTCTGAAGATGTGCAAAAGAATAGAATCATTTCTCCACATACACTTCAGGAGAAGAATAGAAATCAAGTGGGAATTAGAAGAAATTCTGATTTTGAGGGAGTTGGCCAGTGGCGGGTGGTGAATTACACACAGAGCTGTTACCGTGTAGGCTGCACTCAGACACACTTACTTCCTGCTGGGTTTTTAAGACAATCCTGCCAACATAGCCCTCTTCTGGAAACCAGCTGCTTAAAATCTGCACGATCTCTTCCTCGGGACCAATGGCCCTCTGGAACGGCTGTTTTCTGCATTCATTCTTTTCTTTAGATATAAAATATTTTTCTTCCATCAAAAAGTAGTCTGTGGCAATAGGTTTGGTGTCTTGTTCAGTGGTCAGAATCTAAAGATAAAGCAAAGGCACATTTCACAAAAACGGTAATTCAAAACAAGCCTGTTTTCATGGAGCCCAGGGAGCTTTGATGTGTAATTTATAAGCGAAACCTACTCTGGAGTGTTGCATAATTCTCTTTGGAAGGTCTAAGAATTCTCTTAAGTCCAAAAAGAATTGTTTATGTGCATCCTGGGCAACAACACAATGTACTCATCATCACCAGACAGTGTAACTGTTTTTCCCGCTTGCTGGAGTGAGAGCTCCTACCGATTGAAAAACTGTAGGTTTGTAAATCTACGAATTTACCTCTTTGTAATCTTGCAACACGGGACCAAGAGGATAAGGAACCCAGTCCAGCTTTTACCGAGAACTATCTCTCCACCGTTGTTGACTCTATTCTGACCCAAGTTCCTGGTAATTCTCCTTCCAATGAAGTCTTAACTGTGTGTCTAGAGGCCCGTTTTCTTTGTTGGCTACTGACCCGGGCAGTCAAACAGCGTGACCGAGACAAGGCTGGGGAGCCAGGCAGACTGCGTCCGAGGCCCGCCTTCAATACCTACTGGCTGCGAGGTGTTGGGCAGGATAGTTAACCTGTTGGAGATTCAGTTCCCCCTTTATAGAGGGGGAACAGGAAGAGTACTGAGGGGAAGCAGAATGTGCCTCCCCCAAACATGACTTTTGGGACACTGATTATTTTAGACTGGTTATTTTCAAGAAAAAAAAAAAAAGACTCAGAGAGACCCTTCAACCTTCCCCCTTACTGCCTAAGAGAATGTAGATAGAGGATGTGCTCCAGGAGGGAGGTATCATCATAGATAACTACAGTTTAGTATGAACTAGGTGATGGGGAGAAGCCCAGGAAGGCCCATGGATCCAAAGTCCTCTCTGTGTCCCATTGGTAAAGATGGCCCAGCAAACATTTCTCTATCAAACTCTGGCTTTTCCATCTCCATGTGGATTGCCCTCCTGCCCTCTGAAGTCCCAAACTTCAACCCTCCTTCTCCTTAGCTCACGATGGCATATAAACCTCACAGTCCCCTCTGTCCTCTGGTCTCATATTCTTATAGAACCCCCGTGTGTACATACGTGATAGATTGGTTATTTTCTCCTGTTAATCAGTCTTATGTTAATTTGATTATAGGTCCAGCCAGGAGAACTTAGGAGGTGGGAGGAAAATTACTTTTCTGCTTCCACAGTACAACCTCTTCATTTTATGACCTGTTGTATGATCGAGACACTGTTTATAAAGCAGAGCGTGGCACAGCATGAGAACTCAAGAGCCTTGAGCCATCACTGCACTTCCTCTTGCTCATGTGCCCTTTCACGCTCACATCGGACAGGTTCCTGACAAAAGGCTAAAGGCAAAGTGGGTGCCAAGAGAAGGCTGCCACCATCTGGCCTGGGGAAGTCAACACCTTTCTCCTCAACACCTGTTGCTGCTGCGGCTCACTTGGAGGAAAAGAACGAACTGAGGATGGAGAGGGCAGGAGGGTCTCAGGAAGGCTGTTCCCTCCCCCCGAGCCCTTGGTTGGGAACAGGTGCTCGGCTCTGGATTCCACGGGGGCAAGGCAACAACACGCAAGGCTCCCAGGAGCCGGGAGCAGTCCCTCCCTCCTCAGTGCTGCTTTATATGGGGTGGCAACGAAGTAATGGGCTGCTTTTTATGGGTGGTCCATGGAAATGTGTCCTTGCTTTATAACTTCATATTTTATAGAGTCCTCCAAACCCCAACAGTGCTTTGAGATAGCAGACACTAAAGTTCATAGACTGATTGATTTAAAAAACAAAAATCCCAAAACAACCCCAACTTGGGAGTAGTTTCTGTTAGACAGTCTATGACATTTGACACGGGAGCTGTTTTCTCTGAGTCTAAGTCAATTATAAGATCTTGGGGGAAAGTGGGCCTGTCCATAGATACTACCCCTCAAAGGACAGAACTACGTATTAACACTTAGTATGTGTGGTTCATCAATGGGTTTTTAACCCCCAACCCTTCCATGATCGCAGGGGCAGTGCGTCATATGCCCTCACTTCAGAGGGGCTCCACAGTTGGTCCCTCGGCCGCAGCTCCCCTCGGCCTACCTCCAAAGAGAAGAAGGGATTCTGAAATGGGCTAAGGATGAAATAGTCTGCAAGGATACTGGGCTACTGTACCACACAGGAGTGGCACTCCTAGTGAGAAGAGTAGGAATTGCACTTGCTCTTTTAAGAGGCTGCCTACCTCTCAGGATGCTTTTCTGTGTGTCTGGCTCTTTCCCTCTTACAAGTCCCCCTGAGGGGCACTGTCTCTGCCAGCAGAAGGCCACCAAGATCCCCAGGGGATCCAGGGCAGAAGCCCAGCACGAGGGGACTTAGGCCAGTTCTGCTATGGGGGTTGGGTTAACAGGCTCTCATCCTCTTGTTTTGGGACCTGCATGCCTCTTCGTACCACTAGAGGGGTATAACTTTAAAAGTCAGGATCAAGTGCCAGGGGAGGGGGACAAGGTGGCTGATCAACATGCAATGGAGGCCTGTGGCTGGAGGGGCAGAAGATGTCTTGGCCTATATGGTCCATCCTGATGCTGTAAGAATTTGACCCAACTCCTAGAATGATAAGCAGACTTCATTCAGTTCGTGTGCAAATTCTGGTTGATTAGTAAGCTCTGCATTAAGAGGGACTATGAGGCCTGAATCTAGGCTCAGAGGGCAACAGTACACAAGGTTGGAGAGCCACTCATCCTGGTCTTTATCCTTCTAGAGCCCAGTGTTCTGCATGTGGCTGAAGAAGTCTTAGAAATTCTTCTCTACAGGTTAAGGTAGCTTGTTTAGAGGTACCGAGATGTCTCAGGTCACCTGTAGGGTGGATCTTGAGGTGGATATTACAAATAATCAAAAGGCAAATCGTCAACGTGGACTTTTGTGTATTTGTGTGTATGTAGTCACACACATGCAGGCTCAGTGCACTTACTTGCTGGAGAAGTTGCTTTGCCTTGGTGCCTCCATTTATAGAGAAAACAGTGAAGGGCTCCGGACCTGGGACCCCATGCACCGTGACTCTGTGAGTCTGCAGACATTTTCTTTCTTCTGTACTAAACATCTGTCAAGGAAGATCACATGGTTTCTCATTCATTCTCATTCGGATGCAAATTCTAGGCTATATTCACCACTGAGGTGCTCATTCTTAGAGGTGTTTACAGGGACATGTCAATACAGAGCCATTCTAGCATCCCTCCCACCCTGACCCATCGTTTTATGGCTGAAGAAGCGATGGTGTGTCTTCTTTAATAGTCTAGTGAGGATGTGTAGCAGCATACCACCAAACTATTAATTTATTTCACAAAACACTATCTCTTTCCATCATAAGTATGGAACTGATATCATCTAAAATGTACATTAGTCCTTATTTCTGAACTGACATCCAACAGTGTTATTGAGTTCCATCTCTCTTGAAGGCGCTGGACAAGAATTTTGGATGGTAAGATGATAAACAAAATATTCTAGTAAGTAAAGCACTTTCCTAAGTTCTGCGAGAGTCATTTGAGCAAATTACGGAACCGGAGGAGGGACTTGCAACTGTCATGTGAAATGTGGGTAGTGTTGCAGGACTGAGCCCTTAATTGGAGGGTCTGATCTGACTCCAGGTAGATAGTGTCAGCATTGAACCAAAAGCTAGGTCAGCCAGCTGGTGCCGGGGAGTTGGAGAAGCAACGCTGGAAAAGACACGACACATTTGGTGTCAGCAGAAGTATTGCGAGGAAAAACGGCTCTTTCATGGCACGTGTGGCATCTGCAGCTCTGATAGGTACTGAGGGTGACCAACCCGGGATTGTGCAGGAAGCCCTGCCTTGCCTTCTGAAAGCATCTGGCTCTTGCTCTTAGATGCCAGGCAGCCCAGTCCCTGGTTCCCAGTCCTCTGCACAAGGCAGGCAATACCTCCCTCCACTTTGGCCAAAGTGCTGTTTTTAACCGTGGCCACACACTGAAGGGAAAGGTGGAGAAGCTAGGGAAACAAGGTCAGAGACAGAGAGAGAAGACACTAACGAGGGGAGGGAAAGAGAAACGGAGAAGAAAGCCCGGCTAACTGATGGTGGCAGCGGCGGTGGTCGCGTCAGCGCCACTGTGAGCATAGAAGGTGCTTTTCCAGGGGTTGTTAGGACTACGTTAAAGTGTAAGGTGGATATGACAGTGATCAGGCTGTTAAGTGTGTAAAGAGGGGATCGACGAACAGCCTTTAAACTAATTTTTAAAGAGTAAGCATAATGGAATGAACCAGTTTATTAAAGCGGGGTCACTGGTTTAGTCATCAACCCTGGATTATTGGAGTGAGCGCAAGTCCTATGGCTCTCGAACCTCAATGGACAAGAACCTTACCTGGGGAACTTGTTAAAATGCTGATTTTGCAGTGATGGCACCTTTTGTTTGCAGTGTACCCTTCTCATCCCCACGAGTGCAGATTCCGTATCTCCCCAATTGCCAGGGGGCAGTTATGTATCAACAGCAGCACCTGGCTGCCACCCCAACCCTGCTCACCTGGCACCCACCCCTGGACCACTGAAGAAGCAGAAGATTTTCCTGGTCTAACCTAAAGTTTCTAGGAGAACTGACTGCTCCCTGGCAGGTTTGCTTAATTAACTTCTTCCCTACATGTTATTTTTGACTAATATTAAGAGAATGGGCTTTGGCCCAGCTGCTGTAGCTCAATGGATTGAGCATTGTCTCATGGACCAAGAGGTCCTGGGTTCAATTCCTGGTCAGGGGCACATGCCCAGGTTGCAGGCTTGATCCCTAGTAAGGGGCATGCAGGAGGTAGCTGATTGATGTCTCTCTCATCAATGTTTCTATCTCTCTTTCCCTCTCTCTTCCACACTAAGATTCAATAAAAACATATTAAAAAAACAAACACAAAAAGAAACAAAAAGAGTATGGGCTTTAGCACTAGGTGAACTTGGGTTTATAGCTGTGTGACCTCGAGGTACTTAGCTCTTAGCTTCCTCATCTGTAAAACCGAGACCATACTCAAAGCTCTTTCATAAAAACGTTATTGAGAGGATTAGGTGAATTCATATATGTAAAGTGCTTAGACATGCCAATGCCAGCCATTATTATTTCCATAGCTACCTAATGATCACCTTCCTGTATCATGAGCAAGCCTACCTCCAGCACAGCAATCCCCACAGACATGCTGAGTGAAACAGAGCTTAATTACCAAAGAGGCCGGCATGGAACTGCCAGAGGAGACTTCTTCCATCCTTCTGCTGTTTACGAATAAACTAGAGATTTCCAAGACTTCATTGTGGAGGTTTCGCAGCTGAAGATGTCGATATCCTGGAATAACGCAGAATTGGGAAAAGCCTGTTAGCCATGCACTGCAGAGCTCTGCCGCAAAATGGTAGGCAGAGGCCCTGGCTGGGTAGCTCAGTTGGTTAGAGCATAGGCCCGATCCGCCAAGATTGTGGGTTCGATTCCTGGTCAGGGCACATGCAAGAATCAACCAATGAATGCATAAATAAGTGGAACAACAGCTGCGGCCGCAGAAGCTCCCCGGAGGCCCACAGCAAAGCCAGTCCACCAGCCACCAGCTCCGCCTCTGCGCAGGATTCTCCAACCTCCCTGCTCTGTCCCCAGTCCCCATCCCTGGCTTCCAACACTGAACTCCTGCCAGGTACTGATTCCACTCTCGGCCAGTGAGCCACTACCTCTACCACCCTCCTCTTGGTTTCCTCTGCTCACTTCAGTCTCAGCTTGGAAAGTGCTAGGGGGGCCTGGTACAGGGGCTCAGTTGACTGGAGCTCGTCCCGTACACCAAAAGGTTGCAGATTCCATCTCCCATCAGGGTGTGGTTGGGGCACGTATGGGAGGCAACTGATTAATTTCTATTTCTCTCTCACATCGATGTTCCTCTCCCTTCCTCTCTCTCTCAAATCAATAAACATATCCTCGGGTGAGAATAAAAAAAAAGTGGTTATCTTTACAAAAAAAAAAAGTTCCAGGGGTGCAGTGGGTACTATTTGGGCAAGGATGTGAGGGAAGAAGGACCAACCAAGCTCTCGACATCAGCAGCTGTGGGGGAGGCCATACTTCCTCAGAAATGTGAATACCTCGAATTTGAGGATAATGTAAAAGAAAACCTGTTATGAAATGTACTTAAATAGTATTCAAATTTGTGTTATTTTTTTCCTGCCTCTTATTTCAACTTTTTAAAAATGAAAATCTCAAACATAACTCAAAAGTAGAGAGAACAGTCTAAAGAGCTCTATGGCATCTGTCACTGAGCTACAGTAATTATTTTTTATTTTTATAATATACTAGAGGCCCAGTGTATGAAATTTGTGCATGGGCAGGGGGTGGGGGGAAGACCCTTAGCCCGGTCTACACCCTCTTGCAATCTGGGACCCTTCGGGGGATGTCTGACTGCCGGTTTAGGCCCGATCCCACAGTTGGACATCCCTCTCACAATCTGGGACCGCTGACTCCTAACTGCTCACCTGCCTGCCTGATCATCCCTAACCACTCTGCCTGCCTGCCTGCCTGATTGCCCCTAACCACCTCTGCCTCGGCCCCCGCCGCTGTGTCTTCGTCTGGAAGGTTGTTCGGCTGTCCAGTCTAATTAGCATATTATGCTATTATTACAGATTTTTATGAATTTCAGAGAAGAAGGGAGAGATAGAAATATCAATGATGAGAGAGAATCAGTGATTGGCTGCCTCCTGCACACCCCCTACTGGGGATTGATCTCACAACCCCAGGCATATGCCCTGATAGAGAATTGAACTGTGGCCTTCTGGTTCCTAGGTTGATGCTCAACCACTGAGCCACGCGGGCTGGGCTACAGTAATTATTAACAGCATGATGATGCTACTCTACCTCGCTTTAGAGCCTTGAGCGGGATGATCCTCTGAGCAGTGACCGCCGAGCTGTTGTTTTCCACAACTGCAAAACGAAGAAATATGAGGTCTTCAAAGTGGACCCGGAAGAAAAACTGCTCGTTCCACATGGGGTTCAGAGTGTTCCGGTGGATGGGCTTTGTGCGGAAGTGGCAGCTGTCCAGCGGCATGCCCAGGATGTCGACCTCGATGCACGGGCTTCCTGTGCTGTTGCTCGGGCACACGTTCTGGCCAGAGACAATCTGAGGGAGGAAGCAAGGACCAGGTCACTAAAGATGAAAAAGAAACAAAGGCAATCTCTGCACCTCACTGCTTCCCTCCACAAAGAACACTCTGGAATGGACGAGGTCCACGGTGAATAGTGAATAAATCTGCAAACCTACACCCCCCCCCCCCCCCCCCCCCGGCAAAGCAGGAAGTGATTGCAACCACAAGCCTGGAATCATGGGAAAAGCTTCTTTTGTCACCAGCATTCACCTGTCACTTTCAACTGTCAAAATGTTCAAGTATCTTCAAAGCCAAGCAATTAAGATGAAATCAAGTTTCTCAAGAAGGCACAGGGAAATGGGGAGACTTTACGGAATGCAATCACAAACTGGTTGCGAACATTCTGTTCAAGATGTTTTAGGTGTATATTTTATAACTTCAAAGCTATTTTCTTTCTTTTTTTTTAATATATTTCATTGATTTTTCAGAGAGGAAGGGAGAGGGATAGAGAGTTAGAAACATCATTGAGAGAGAAACATCGATCAGCTGCCTCCTACACATCTCCTACTGGGGATGTGCCCGCAACCCAGGTACATGCCCTTGACCGGAATTGAACCTGGAACCCTTCAGTCCACAGGCCGACGCTCTATCCACTGAGCCAAACCAGTTTGGCGAAAGCTATTTTCTTGAATGGTTTAGTTTTCCAGCAAGTCACAGGGAATGTTTTAAAAAATTTATCCACAGCCTTCTGTACACAGTTAAACGTCTACTCGAGTCTAGCTAATCTGGTCAAACAGAGGAGGCCCCCTGCCCTGGTCTTCGGGAAGGAGACAGCAGAGGTGGCAGGAAAACTGGAGCGTGGTTTTCCCGGGGTGTGAGAGGGGTAATCAGAGGCTGCTTGGCATTCTTCCTTTGGAGGGAAACGGACAAGTTCTAAGGTTGGAGGGCAGCGATCAGCCATACAGAGGTCTTGTTCTCTGTCCGCTAAGAGGTAGCGACAGAATGGGGAAATAAAGTTGAATGATGAGCTGCCGGGGGCTGTTGTTAAGGGCAGTCTGTGGTGTTTTGACATGGGGTTAATTAGGCAATAAAAGAAATAAGGAAAGGCCCAGGAACGATACAGTTTAAATTGCAAGGAGGAAAGATATTTAATTGATTTGTATATTGATGCCCGTTTGATCTTATGAGAGCCTGTTCGAGTTTAAGATGACCTGCTCTAACAAGGAGCTCAACTTTTATGAGAGAAAATCAGAATGATGGTGCTGTGGGCCCTGGAAGACAGAATCACCACCATCAGCGTGCAGGGGAAGCAGCCCCACCTACGGGGCACTGGCAAATGCAGTGCCTGGCGACAGCATACCTCAGCCACAGCCACCGCTTGTGACAGGTAAAGAAATCCTTCCGGGAACTAAATCTGCACAAACAAAACGGTGACACGAGAACTATGCAACGCCCTGAATCCAAAACCAACGCATATTCAGGAAGGCGGAAGCGCCTTGCCATCTCCTGGAGACAGCGCCACACTTACAGTCAAAGAGTAGACAGCGGGCTCCATGTTGTCCAGGTCTCTTTCCAGGGGAGAAAACTTCTGATACATGGGGCAGTTCTTGTCCCACAGAACTGGGGGTTTCAACACATAGCCACAGCCACCGTTGGCCTCAAACATGGCAGCGTTTAAATGTAAAGGGAGATCTGCAAAACAAAGTCAGCATTGCTTGTTACTCTGTCGCTTATGAATGTCAAGGTCAGAACTTATATGTTATATGCATAGCCCATGGACATGGGCAATAGGGTAGTGAAGACATAGGGGAAGGAGTGGGGTGAAGGGGGAAAAATGGGAGAGATCTGTGATGCTATCAACAATAAAAAATATATTTAAAAAAAAGTAAAGTTCAAAAGAACTTTGTATCAATTTTCCCCAAGCTTAAGCATGAAGAAGGGACTGACTAAGTGGCTACCATGTGGCAGGTTGTTAGGTATGAGAGATACAACAGGTAACAAGACCAACATCCCTGTCTTTTCGGGGTTCAGTCTATGGGATAAGCCCAGTGTCTCACTCCCACCCAGGTTCTGCCTTTTAAAAACTCCTTTTGCAAATCAAAATTTACAACATCCATCTGAAAAAAAAAAAATCTTTGCAATACCTCATTTTATACAGAATTTTAATAAGGAATAGTCATGGCATTTTCTTATCCCCGAACACTAAACCATGCAGACAACTGTATGACCAATTCTTGCCTTTGCAAATATAAGATAAAAATCTTAATAATCCAAGACAGACTGGGAGAAGAGCCAGAAAAATATATCTTTCCATGAAATCTCAATTTCAACCCATAAATTACAGTACTTCTACCTCTTTTTAATTGCAGTTAAATATGAAAAAAAATTTTATCACATGTGATTCACATCATGTCCATGATCAATCCCCTCCATCGTAAACCCTGGGAACCCTCAAAACGGCTTCCAGTCGTCTGTGGCCAGCTTTTACTTGGCACGGTTCTTGGATGAATGTTGGACTCCCGCACTGGTTTGGGCTCTGACACACACGAATGCTCATCTGATGGCGCAAGTCTGTAGAAAGTTTGCCCAGATGAACACAGGGTTTATGAGGCACACCTGACAAATGTTCCCTCTGATAGATTCCTTCCATGTGCAGAGCGAACTGTGCTACATGGACTGACATCAAGGAAAAGTGTGGTGAGCACCACGGAGCAATAAGAAGTTAGCCTCCACATGTCTCGTGTGTAAAATTTTTTCCGTATACATAGGGTTGGCTGGGATTGTAGGCAGGAATCCTTGGGGTCAGATGTCTAAGGCATAGGAAAGCTACGTGGGCTCGGTCTCCTTATCTATAAAATCAGTGCCCTGGACCCCACCTCTCAGGTCCGTCCAGTCCTGATGTGACTAATTCGTTGAGGCTGTCTTGCCTGCAGGACGAGAGAATTCTTTTCTCAGGCCACCCTGTGACAGAGGAACATAGACCTGGGCTAGGATGGCTAAGAGAGCGAAGCAGGCTAGCTCATGCAGAGGTGATGAATGTGAAATGGATATATATTACTAAAAATTATAGCAGCTCACCCTTACTGTGCTCTTACTGTGTACCAGGCCCCATTCCACGCACTTTATGTACATCAGTGCTTCCCATTTTATAGATGAGGAAACTGAGGCACAAGAAGTGAAAGAACCCAAGGCACACAGTTACTAAGTGGTGATCCAATCTCAACAACTGAGCCGCATAGTGTACACCCCACAGGCGTGTCATAAATGAGAAAACGTGTGTAAGTCTCTACCAAGCATTCGGCACATAGAAGATCTCAATAAACAGTAGGTAATAAATTATGATTATGATGTCAACTCCCATTTGGGTTTGAAGTCTGATCCTAGGAGGTCTATGTCTATCCTTGTACTTTCCCAAACTTTTTCTTTTTCTATTAATTCTCACCCAAGGATATTTTTCTGTTGATTTTTTTTTTTTAAGGAAGAATGGAAAGGAGGTGGAGAGACAGAGAGAGAAACATTGATGTGAGAGGAGAGACACATTGATTGGTTGCCTCCTGCACAGGCCCCGACCAGGGCTGGATGGAGACTGCAACCGAGGTACGTGCCCTGGACTGGAATCAAACCCGGGACCCTTCAGTCCATGGGCCATCACTCTATCCACTGAGCCAAACCAGCTGAGGCTAATCTCATTTAGTAATCCAACAGGTAAACCAGATGCAGGCGGAGCTGCTCATTTTGGAATAAAGTTGGGACCTCAAATCTAGCCCTCCAACTGCCCCCTAGGTGTGGCCCCAGGACTCCACCTGGGGCTATCGTTTTACTAGTAAAACCCCTGTTGTAAGCAAGTGAAGGAGGGTGCATGATTCCATGTCACCTGATTGCCCCTCTCAGTCAATGCCTGTGAGGCAGGTCAGGCTTATCAGTACCTTTATGGTCTCCTATTTATTTAAAAACCTTGTATTAAGTAGGCACCATTCCCATAATAATGATGCCTATATTTTGGGGCTAAAAAAGTCATCATAAAGAGTTTGACAATCACTCAGGAAAGCAGGATTCATATTAACAGCTTTTCTTTTGATGGGGTCGCATGTCCTTACACTTGTTCTGCTCTAGGTGGAAAGAATGCTGAGGGACAGTTGCCAGCCATTACCAGGTTTGCATACCAGGCTCAAGTCAGTTTCCAAACTCAAGAGTTGGTTTCCTTGAGTGCAGACCTGGGCTATTCCTGGCTCCAGATCACCGCAGACCTTCTTGAAGATGATGGAGCCATTAGAAATTCTGGGAAGAGATGACCCTAAGTCAATGGACACTCCTTTGGGGCATCAGGGTCCTCTGACATCCAGGAAGTGGCAAGGCTGATGATCCATGGAACACAGTCGGAGGCTAGAGGGACACTGGGAGAGGGTTCTCTGTTACTTGGTTGGGATGTTTCATGGAAAATCAAGTGTACCCTAATCTAGGAATTCTTTGTAAAAATTAAAAGATAATGAGTCCAATAGACTCTGATCTATTTGGACTTGCAATCCATAGAAAAGTACCTAAAAACCCAAGAACCACAGGCTCAGACTGCAGTAGGGCAGAGGGGGATAGTCTGTTTCAGCTCAGCGTGCATTTATTGAGCACCTACTGCATGCAAGATATTAGCCAGGCTCTATGCCCAGTTTGTGCAAATGAAGACCATTTTTACAGGTGAACACGGTGAAACTGCCTGTGGCTTGTGCTCTGTCCAGCGTGGGGATGCGTGTAATCATTGCCTGCGGCACTGGACCCGAGAGGCGTTATGGCAGCACTCTCTCTTGGGCTGGAAGACTCTGTAGAGAAACTTGAGGATGAACCATCAACAGAGCCATCTGTCTCCCCTGAGGAGGCAGCTCAAATATGTACTCCCAGATTGATTTGGGAGAGAGGCAAAGCCTTCAGGGGTGAGTGAAGGCCAAGCTGCAGCCTCAGTGTGTGCTTCGGGACCTTTCCTCAGTGTGGTGGTGGAGGGAGCCAGGAGGCGCAGCTCCTTTCAGCGGCGGCTCCCTCTGCCATCGGTGGAGCCAGTGTGTCTGCACCAGCCTTGGCACGCCCAGGAGAGCGGGCACATCCAAAACCAAACGCATTTCCATTTCCTTGAGAAAACCATCTTGCTAGTGATTTCACTTGACTTAAAATATTTCAGTATCATAATAACCAAGGGCGCCGAAGGGCTACAGACAGGGTCAGAGATGTGAGCCCGCAAGCCACTTGGGACAGATTGAAAAGAAACTTTTACAACTTTGAAAATATTTCATTATTATTTCCACTTGCGAGTCCAAATCCTACTGTTTTCATAACTTATCAAAAACACTTCATCATCGTTAACGTTTGTGGAATGCTTTCTCTGTGCCAGCCACTATGCTAAGTAGGGTACTTCACCTGCATCGTGTTATTTAATTTCAATGGAAAGAAGCAAATATAACAAGGGCAAAAAAAAAAAAATGCGTTGGCAGGGTCAGCCACACATGGGCACTGTTGGCACCAGTACCAGGTGGCTAGCTGGTTCGAGAGCGAAAGGTGGTTTGACCTTGGCTGGAGACGGGGCTATGCTGTGGCTGGCGGGTCAGCACAGTTGCTTAGGATCTGATTCAGGTGACGCGAGAGGAATGGGAAGGCCGCTTGGCTGTCCCAAGGAAAGACTGTGGCTTCTGAAGGTGCTTCGAGGAAACATTCCTCATCGACTGTTTCTTTATCTTCTGCAGCTCCCTTCCTGCCCCCATAACCAAGTAGAAACAAAATACTTTATCCTCTCCACTCCCAGCATCCTTGAATTTATTATTACTAGTCATTCTGTGACCTTGAGCAAATCAATTGCTCTGTGCCTTGGTTTGCTCATCTGAGGAATGGGGATCATAAAGGCGTCCACCACTTAGGGTTGTTGCAAAGATTAAATCAGATAATAGGGGGGTCAAGGAAAATTCAGCACGGTGTCTGTCGCATGGTAAGTGTGCAATGAATGGTAGCTCTTGTTCTGGACGTCAGGCCTCATCAGGTATTCCTGCTAAGAGAGTTTCCTCAACAGTGGAGAAAAACTAACACTGCTTTCTTGGTTCGCACACTTGTTTTCTCCATGTGAGCTACTCTGGGAGCAATGACCATTATTCTCCATTTCAATCTCAATGGGTAAGAAGAAGCTAACATGCACTTTGTTTGGAGTGACAACTACTTATCGACTGCAAGGAATAGCTTAGCAAGACAGCTTACCAAAGGGTGTTAGTAACTCTCTGCCCCAAAAGGTCTTTAGACACAAACTAGACACGGCCCTAAACAGGGTCTTATTTAAAGACACAAAAGAGTAGCCTTATGTTTAAAAAAATGCTTTAAAAAGGGAGCAAGAACAAGAGATTACTAGGGACCCCTTTAAAATTCTTTCCTATCACCTTAACTCTGAAACATCAAGGGCACAATTCAGTATCAAATGCACCGGTATTTTTGCTCTTACATATGGGGTGACCCAGTCTGGCATCTTGCCCCTCTTAACTAAAATGTTGTTTGTTGAACTATGTTTCCTGGAACATAAGACCAGAAGGAGAGAGGTGAGGAGAGGCCGTTACCATCTGTCTGGTAGTTGAGTGCCACGAGCTGTATCCCGTGCAGCCAGAACATGAGGGGGTTGGGGTTGGAGGAGTCGATGCGGGTGGCAGCCGGGTAAGTCCTCAGCAGCTGGCAGGCGGTGTGCTGGATCAGTTTCTGAGAATACCTGCGACACAGACGTTTGGCGGCATTTTCATTCAGCGATGAGATATGGTAACATTTGGGAGTTCTAATGATAGCGCTGAGGGACGTGGCTGGGCTGAGGGGGGAAGAAGACTCCTCCCAGGCCTGTCGCATTCCTTCATAGGAACCTAAACCCCCCAAAAGATTAGCCTCAGATTAGTGCGGGACACTTTAAATGTTTTAGAAAGATAAACCTGAACAACATCTGGGTAAAACAATCATAACCATGTAACACATCAGAGTAGATCTTAATGGTGTTACACTATTCAGTTACACTACAGTAGCGTTATGCTATACTTGAGTTAGTCCACCACCTCGAAACAAAATGATAACTACTGAGCTTTAAAATGAGTGCAGAAGCACCAATTTAAGTTAAAAGCCTGGAAATCCTTTGCCTCATCTGTCCTGTGGATATATTTGAACAATACATGGCAATATATGTACAAGGGTATTCACTTTAGCGTTTGTTATAAGGAAAAAACAGCAACAAAAAAACCAGGAAGCAATCCAAATGTTCTACCAGTGAGGAAGTGGTTAAATGACAGTATACACACAATGGAAAACCACAAAGGCATAAGGAGAATAAGGTAGATATATGCTCAGAAAGCTGTTTGGAAAGTTACAGCAATATAAAAGTTATACAAATATGCTCGGTTGTATCCCATTGGGATCATCTTAAAAAGAATCTTATTCTTCTTGAACAAAACACAATAAACCTAACAGTGGTTACCTCAGGGGACTAGAACTGAGCCATTGAGAATAGAAAGGAATTTTAATCGTACTCTATATTGTTTGAGTTTTTTTTTTTTAACTATGAGAATTTATTACTTTTATAATAAAAAGTAATTAGTAATAAAATGGATATATCTTCTGGAGTTATAATGGTGACGAGAGCAGTTCCAAGAACCACTAGAATGTTCCAAGGTGGTTCCAATTTTTCCCTATTGAGGCAAACACTGTTAGAACATCTTCAGTGAAGTGCTATTTTTTAGGAAGTTAAACATGTAAAATTGAAAAATGTTTCTACTACACTTAGATAACATAAACATTCATGGAAATTAAAAAAAAAATATAGAAAAAGTTCAAGGGAAGTGCTTCGACAGTAAAATGTTAGACTTATCCAGCATGCGGAATCGAGCAAAGGTATCGAAAGAAGGTGACTTTACTTTTTCCAGATGTTTTGTTAAGTGAGGCCGTCTCCCCAGGGCTCATTCTGCCCGGATTGTTGCCAAAAATGGACTTCCTGCTTTTCCTTTCTTTTCCTCTGTTAGAGCCAGATGCATTTAGAGTTGACAGGCCTGTTCCCATAAAATGAAAATAAATAAGCCAAAAACTACAAGCGAGGGAACTCGACGTTTTCCATCCCTGTCCATGTTTACTTTGAAGTCTTACTACTCCCTGGTAACCTGCTCAGAGGACCCACTCGCATTCTCAACACCGCTAATAGCAGCACTGCAGGCTTTAGAGTGAAGTTTTTATCTCTGTGGGCAAATGTGACAAGAACTGCAGGGCTATTACAGAATGACCGCAAAATAGCACCCACACCCACCTGATGGTGCACCAGAAAGATTTTGAAAAACTGCATAAAAAGAAAGTGCTCCAGTCAACACTGAATTATCAGGACCGAATTACTCAATTTTGAGAGATGAAAGAATGGCTCGGAGCACGAGTTTTAGCATCACATTGTCTAGGTTGAACTCCTGCCATTACGAGCCCTGACTTAATATCTACCTTCTCTGTTCCTCAGTTTCTTTATCTACAAAACGGGTATAAAGATAGGAACTCACAGGCTTAGTCTGAGGATTAAACAAGAAATATGTTAAATGACAGTGATGCCTCACGGCTTCTCTTTCTCACTCCTGGTCCAACCACCCCCTGACTCCTTCCTGCCTGGCACAGTGCCTGGCACGCAGCAGCACTTTAACAGATATTTGCTGAACGAGGAAATGAATGCACACCATGTAGACCTGGATCCAGTGCAGGAAGAGTGAGTTAAAGGCACCAGGCAAGCCCGTGGCCTCCCAACTGTTTCCACTGTCTACATTGTACCATTAGATCAGTGGTCGGCAAACTGCGGCTCGCGAGCCACATGCAGCTCTTTGGCCTCTTGAGTGTGGCTCTTCCACAAAATACCGACTTCTGCGCATGGGCCACGAAGTTTCAATCGCACTGTACGTGCGCGCCCGCACGTGGTATTTTGTGGAAGAGCCACACTCAAGGGGCCAAAGAGCCGCATGTGGCTCGCGAGCCGCAGTTTGCCGACCACTGCATTAGATAATAATTCCTTCAGCTGGAGCAGTGTTCCGGAGGCCCTCTTTGAGATGAAAATACACCTTCCAAAAACATCATCAGAGAAGACAGGATAAAGGAGTGTTTAATAAAAGCATAGGCTTTGGGGTTTAAACCCAGTTCCGAGTGGTGTGACCGCCCACAAGCTACCGAACCCTCTGCACTCCTTGCTCACCTATAAAAGGGCTGTGGTCACAATGAAATGAGATCATGTATATTTACATACTTAGTAGAGTGACTTGTTCAGAGAAAGTGCTCGGTTCATAACAGCTATGGGGCTTCTAAATTTTCTCTCTCTGAAGTATCCGTAACCACAAAGATGTGCTAACTTGCACTAGTGAGTTTTCATGCTTTATCTTAAAATTTTGTGTGAACTTTGCCCTCTACACGATGATGTAACAGTAGATTTTCTCCCAAGTAAAACTGATGAGAGGTCAGAGTGAGGCCCATGTTCATTCTGGGAGTTTTGCACACATCCTGGCCCACGTCGACATTCCCCAGGGATATGTGGGACCTTCTGTGAACAGCCTGGCTGTTCTCTCCGGGTGGGGCGAGGAAGCAGGAACATGGGCTGGTGATCAGGAGAGGGGAGGAATCTGCTCTGTTGGCCCATCTATATATGTAAAAGCTCAGCGATCTTTATGGCGGAACGACTGGAACGACCAGAACGACCAATCGCTATGATGCGCACTGACCACCCAGGGGCGGACGCTTAACGTAGGAGCTGCCCCTGGTGGTCAGTGCGCTCCCACAGTGGGGGCGCTGCTCAGCCAAAAGCCAGGCTCACAGCTGGTGAGCACAACGGTGGTGGCGGAAGCCTCTCCTGCCTCTGCGGCAGCACTAAGGAGCAGCGAGCCAAGAGGAAAGGAGCGAGCAGGCGGGTGGTTAGGAGCGAGGGGTCCCAGGCTGCGAGAGGGATGTCTGACTGTCCCCTCCCCCCCCGCCCCCGAATAAATCTTGTGCATCGGGCCTCTAGTTTATCAATAAGAATAGCAACCGCCACCAGTTCCAGCCAGCCAACTACCTGTAGATAGCGTGCTAGTCACATTAGGTACTTTATTGTTAATGTTTACAACAACCCTGCAAGTGAGGACTGTTCTGTCTCTTTTATTGGAAGGGCCTCTGACGTGCAGAGAGGTTAACTAACTGCTATAGTCAAGGTCACTGAGGAGTGGAATCCTGACACTGAAGCGGGTTCCTGATCTCGGGGAGGTTACTGTACTTCTGGGGAAGGTCGTGCCACGTGGTCTTCATGCTGCCTCACTGCTCTGAAGATATTTTTGCACAAGCCTCTGTGGATGGGACTTGGGATGGTGAAGAGTGAGATGCATTGAAATGGATAATGTAGCAAAATTAAAATCCATAGTGTAGCAAAATGAACATTTTATGGTATTTTCCCCCAGAGCATCAGAACAAATAATAATCATGATAAAGATGTAGAAGGTAGTGTAATAATGATTCTAGCAACACAATTTAGTGGTTTTGAGAAAGGAAGTAAAGTTGGGAAAAGAAAAATGTCCGAAATTTCAATTACTAAAAAAATTAAACTACAGTATGTCTTAGAAAGACTGCGTGCCATTTAAACACTTTAAAAGAACAGCATATTGGGAATCTATATCTATAAAAGCCTAAGTGACCATTCAACTGGTAGCACACTGACCACCAGGGGGCAGACGCTCAATGCACAGGCATGGAAACATGGAACAGACTGATGAATCTCAGAAGGAAGGGGGAGGGGGAAAGACGGGAAGAGATTAACCAAAGATCGGCCTGCGGGGATCGGGGCCACTGTGCACTGGGCCTCCGGCATCCCCCGAGGGGTCCCGGATTGCGAGAGGGTGCAGGCCAGGTCAAGGGACCCCACCAGTGCAGGAATCTGTGCACACGGCCTCTAGTTTTAAAAATAAGCCAAATAACGCCATGCGTAGCCTGTGCCTCCAGTCAGAGGTTGGACCCAATGACCTTTGACTCTTCCAAAATTTGGGCATTTTTGCTCTTTATCTACTCAGTGCTTGAGAAGAAAAGACCAAGCCTGTGGGATGGTTTGGGTGTAGTGTGAGCTGAGTTTATAAAGAACAGGAGAGGCAGTGAGTGTGATTCTTGAACGAAGTGACCTTCACACTTGTTCCTGTGATGAAGGACATGCAGGCCATGAGGTTCTTTTGACAGGAAAAGGATTTTTCCTCATCATAAGAACACTTTCACCAGCTACAAATATGATCACATTGTACTTATGTGAAAGAAGGCCTGGTCTGTGAAACTACACCTAAATGGCTAGGTTCCTGCATGTCTTCGAGATCTCTGCTTGCTAATTATTCATTCATATTCTCCTCAACAGAATTTGCCAACAGGTAAGCAGCAGCAGCTGCCAAAATCTCCAGTTTATGGGAGAGAGCTTAAAATTGAGAAAGTTCTATTTATGATTTTTTTCCTTCTGGTGTGTAAAAAGACCACTATTACCTAATTTTTAAATAGCCCAATACCTCGGTCCCAATTTCAGGGCAGAGTGTGAGAACTGATGCTTAAGACAACCCTCTGGGAGCCAGGATCTGCATTCAGACCATATTGAAAAAAATGAGGGTTGGTATTTTAACCCTCTCCAGGCCAAGTTTGCTAACATTTAGACAATCCCCCAATTCCAGGAGCTTTCCTGTCCTCTGCAAGGGAATCCTTTTTCTTAGTAGAAAGCGGTAGATTTTTCTGACTTCCTAGGTTATGGACTCTCCTGTTTGCCCTCCACCTCCTGCTGTCCCCTTGCGCGATGCACACTGGGTGAGCTCACTGACGACATGCCCTGACAAGAGAGGCGAGGCCGTGCAATGCAGATTGACAGGCTCCAGAATCGGAGTTATGCCATTTGTTAGCTGAAATGGACCCCACCCCCTTTTTTAATAGCTGTTTATCAGCACTTTACTTCTAGAAATGGCCAACTGAGGAAACTTTTTCTCCCACTGAAACGCCCCTTGTGGTTTGGGTGGAGCTCAGGGGTAGGGCAGGTGACAGAGGCCTGGGACAGTCTGAGCACTGCCTGCGCTGGGCCACAGTGACTAGTACAGGAATGGGCAGAGGACCCAGTGAAAAACAATCAAACTGCTGCAGAAAGTTCTGGAAGAGCGGCTTACACTGAAGCTGAATTTAGGAGCATGTAGTGCTGGCCTGCTGCAGCTGCCTTACAGCCCAAAGGGAAGAGGGCCAACATGACAGAGACAGTGAGAAACAGGGAGAGGGCCCTGGGTCAAGCCGTACCTGAAACTTCTGTACCCATTTTTCAATACATGAGCCAATAAGTTTACTTTTTGTGTAAGCCAACTTCTGCCACTTTCAAAGAAGAGTCTTAACTGCTTTACTCTGAAACCTAGAGCCAATTGCTTTATCTCTCTCAGACTTTGTCTTATTTAAAAATGGGGAGTAGATTGGTGACGTCAGGAGCACAATGCTGGGCTGACCGCAGGAGTGTCAGAGAGGCCGTGAATTCTGTTTGGAGGTATCTTTGAGCTCGCTTAGATGCCATGAGCAAAGCTCACCCTCCTGAGTTGAAAAAAAAAATTATGGACAAGAAGTTATCATTGAAATTAAGTGGTGGAAGCCATGGCCAAGGAATATTGCAGGGATTTGATCCCTTTATGAATCTTGTGATAGGTGAATGTGTGGAGATGGCAACTGGTGGGCAACAGAACAACAGTGGAACGGTGGTAATACGAGGACATAGTATCATCATGTTAGAAGCCTTGGAACGAGCACAAAGAATGGCTGTGTTTACCAGAGAAATCAACTGCTTCCATATGTCCCCTCTCCTCAGCACCTGCTTCACTACAATATAAAAATCTAGTCCTGTCAATTTTCACATTGAACTTTTGTTAAATAAACTTTTGTATTTGTCAAAAAAAGGGGGGGAGGGTGAATAAACCCAATATCTCATTGAATTATTATGAAGGCAATAAGATGATGTATGTAAAATACACAAACCCTGGTACTTAAATGATTAATAAATTTTAGCTACTAGGGGTTATGAATATTATTATTTTATTATCATTTTCATTATTAACTATTATAAAAAGACATAATATGATCTGGAAAATAAATATTTTATGGTATTTTCCTCATGAGCATCACAGCAAATTATAATAACAAATATTTAGGATGTATTGTAACAATGATTTCAGCAACACAATTTAGCTATTTTGAGAATATTTACAATACCCAATTAAATAAATAGCATATTTTTATCTCTTGGCACCTTTAAATGTTTTAGAAGAGCTTGACTTCTCTTACCTGGGAATTTTACTGCTTGGCAATAGATGACAAGGTCAGAAAGCTCTGGTGCAATCTGTCTGCTTTCCTTTTTATTCTGAGGAAGATAAAATTCTTCTCCCAACTCCATGTCATACACCTAGCAAGGGGAAAATTACACCAGTTGACATGGAAGGTATATGCCACCCAGAAACCCTTTATCTGCTGCTTTCCCAGTGGGTTTCACCTTGCTCTACATTCACCCCTGTGTCCTAACTCCTTTCCTAGAGTAAAGACATTCTGAGAGCAAGAAGTGAGTCTGACGCCCGGGTGCCGTCCAGTGTGGAACAGTCAGTGTGTATTTGCTGAATGAACAGAGAATTGAGCAGGTATCTTCTGTGGCTCACATTTCTGATATTTTATTCTTTTGTTCTCTAACATTCTCACTGCAACTACGTCTACAGATTTGCTCAGAGCCTATATTCTGTGAGGCACTTGAGGGTTGAGTCTGGGTATCTATTTTATCCTTCTATTCTCAGTGTCCTTCCTCGGTTAACACTTCACCATCTGGCCCCGCTCATCTTCTTGGTCATCCCCAACATCTTCAAAACTCCTAGCAATTCCTTGAACATACCCGGCTGTCCTCTTGGCCTGCATGCCGTTTCTGTCTGTTTGGCTAAATCTTCCTTCTGCAACATCATCTTCTTAATGCTCTGATAACACTGTGAAGTCACTGCTCTTTTATTTACCTACAAGCATTGTTGATGGGTTGAGCTCCATCACTAAACCACCTCCTGCACCACCTCAGTGTCTGCCACCCAGTACACCTTCAGTAGGTATTGGCTGGATGAATCAATGACTAACCTTCTACAAATGGCAGGTGGGTGTCCCATAGCATCACCATGTGGGCTTTGGCATCTAAGGGAAAGTGAGGGGAAAGGTGAAGGGAAGGGGCAGGGAAGGAGGGAAATCCCACCTGAAACTGACAAGAGTGTGATGGTCCAAGTGTAATTTAACAGAAACCATTCACCCACCTTTCCTTTGTTGCAAGCAGAGTTATCTGCTTTCTTTATCCTCTTGGGGATTTCTTCATTATACTCAAACTGAAGCTTGTCGCTACACGATTTACTTTCAGGTCTGTCTTCTAGAATGTTATCTGAAAATGAGTTGGCAGGCTTCAGCGCACAAGAACCAAACGCTTCACTCAAGGGCTACGTCTACGTCATGGCAAGGATACCCAGACACTTGTGCTTGTTGTGAGACAAGGCTGGCTACATGTTACCAAAATGATGGCTTGAAGTATAATTTTTAGATTTTGTTAAACAGTGTGCTTATTTTTGATTGCATGGATTCATTTGCCAGTAGTTTTGGCACCACACAGACATCATCTAAATGAGAAGGCTCGTTTTCATATAGATGACTGGCTCTGTGCAAAGATGACAGAAGATGCCCTGTGTCAAGAAGCTCTCGGCACACGGGTTGGGGAAGGATTTAGTGGTTGAAGCACTTCTAGATGGTGAGTGGTTTAATCACTCTCACTTTGAAATGAAGCTATTAGCCTCTTTTACCTCTAGAAATGTCAAAACCAGAAGAAAAAAGACATTGTCACTTGCAATGCAGTTTTCACAATTATACTTAATTAAAAAGTAAAGTTTTCATACTTGTCTATCAATTGATTAAGTGAGAATCTTAGGGATAGGAATTGAAATATATCTAAAAATATGCAAAGTATGAGAGATACTTCTATACTTTGGTCTTATGTTGAATTTCTATTCAAAATGTCTTTAAAAGTGTTAGAGGTACATCACGATTATGTTCTTTTAAAATGAAAAACATGAAAGCACATTTCTCACCTCGGATTTACTATCTCATCAGACCACAAATGCTTAGACCAAAATATCGTTATACCAAATCAGGGCTATGCAGGCTGCCACGAGGTAAGTGAGATCAATCATTTCACTACATTTTTATGCACGTAAGTGTCACAACGTCATACTAATCAGGCCTAAGAAACTGGAAACAGATGCCGGCATTCATGCAGTTAAAATGGCCAGTTCGAGTGGCTTTACCTTCCTGACAGTTAGGAGCAGGAGAAGCAGTAAGGACATCTGCTACAGAAAAACAGAATCAGAAAGGAGATAAAAGTAAGAGAAATTAAGACAAAAAGCCAGATAAATTAAACTCAGGTATGAAGCAGAGCATAAATAACTACAGCTTAGGTGATAAGATAAATGAAATAAGAACTCTTCCATCGATGTACTATTTTGACTACTAAGGGATGCAAAGGCTAGCAATAAAAGAAGCACAAACATTGTTAATGTGTAACATGCTGCCACTCCCACATTTTGCATTAATACTCCCAATAATACATTATGTCCACTGGATATAAGTTGATTAATGTTTTTAGGGCCATGTAGTCATTGTGATAGAATATTTCTATATTAAGTTGCCAGTTCAAATCGATACTCTAGGGCATGTTCAAAGCTAGTCAGGATAAACAGCAAAGTTGGAAAAAATTAATTGATATTTATTGAAATTTAATTAAACAGTCGCTTAGAACTTACTGGCTAAAAGCCAGAGTAGTGGTTCCTGAAACACATGAGCCCCATGTACAACACCCTTTAGATTTTCTGGAAGCAATTTTGGAATTGCCACATTTTTATAGCAAAGGAGGCTTCAGACTAATTCATTTTATAGATGTGGAAACGGATGCCTGGGGCTGTCACAGAGATAAACTGTGGCCCCAGATTCTCGAGACGGATTCTCAACTCGGGCTGCTTGCGGGGGCCTCAGAAGGCCTGTGAACACTCTTGCAAATTTATGCAGAAATTTGAGAGCACGCTCATTTCTGAGGGGACTGGGCACAGCTTCCAAGGGACCCATCATTACAAGAAGCTGATGAAGCTGGGACTGGTCCTGTCCACAGCAGGCAGGCTTCTCTGTCCTCAGCTCAGCTGGAGAAAGTGAAGGTGGTGGAGGGAAGCAGAGAGGAGTAAGGCAACACACACCACCACCACCAAAAGTGCAAGACTGACAGGACCCGTAACAGGAGCATCAAGAAGCCTGCACAGGCCAGACTTCAACACGTCACGGCATAACTACGAGGCCTGTTTGGGAATCAGCCCGTCAGAGCAATCTTTCAGTGAAATGGGAAATAACCCCGTGGCGGCAGAGGGTTTGATTGTTGTAGGTCCTAACTGTTAGTGCTGGAAGAAGGGAGAATGTCAGCCAACATGTATAGAGCCTTCTCATTACACACCCGAGGGGCCTAAGGCCACAGTGTGAAAGGACAATGCCCAAGTCTCACAGTCCATGGGGCAGACCTGGTGGGGCCGCCCCTCCATGTATACCCGACCCAGCACATGCTGGTTTTAGAAAAGCACTCTACTACTATAGATATTCAGTGGAGTAGGGTTTAAATTTTACTCTCCTGAAAATATAGGCATACCTCATTTTATTGTGCTTTACTGATATTGCAGTTCTTTACAAGCTCTTCCACCAGCAAAAATATTATGACTATGGCGGTGGTCTGGAACCCAACCTGCAATATCTCTGAGGTATGCCTGTAAATCAGAAAGATCTTTCCCCACCCTGTTCATTTTTAATTTGCATATCAAAACACCAATAATAATAATAATAATAATAATGAAAAGCCAGCTCCTTTCTTTTTTTAAAAAATATATTTTTTATTGATTTCAGAGAGGAAGAGAGAGGGAGAGAGAGATAGAAACATCAGTGATAAGAGGGAATCATTGATAGGCTGCCTCCTGCATGCCCCCTATTGGGGTTTGAGCCCACAACCTGGGCATGTGCCCTTGACTGGAATCGAACCTGGGACCCTTCAGGCTGACGCTCTATCCACTGAGCCAAACCAATTAGGGCGCCAGCTCCTTTCTTGTTATTAAAAGTACAGAAAAAAACACACAGGATGACTTATGATAGAGAATGGATGTATCTTCCAATGCACTAACTTCTTACAGAAGGAAATTACTTCTGATTGGTTGATATCTTAAATATCAACCAAAAAAGTTGGTTTTCATTTCTTATCTGAATAAATTTGTTTTTCTATGGGAAAACATCACCATGACTGTTGTAGGGACCCACGGGGAAGAATAAGTCAATATAGAAATATTCATATTCCCACAACTTTTCAAGAATCAAATATAAAAATTATATTTTTCTCCCTCTTTTAACCTCCCCATTAGAGAATATGACCCTCATATAATCTGATGGGATTTCAAATAAATAAATTGGTTTTTAGTTGATGGTATGAAGCAATCAACTAAAGATAAATATTAAATGGATACAAAAATTCCGTTTCTGAATGTCTATCTGAAGGAAACAAAAACAATTCAAAAGGTATCTGCATCCTGGCCAGTGTGGCTCAGCTGGTTCAGCATCGTCCTCTGCACCAGGAGGCTGCTGGTTCCTTCAGTTCAGGGCACAAGCTGGGTTTCAGGCTTGATCCCCAAGTAGGGAGTGTGCAGGAGGCAGCTGATCCATGTTTCTCTCTCATTGATGTTTCTATCTCCCTCTCCCTAAAATCAATAAAAACATACTTTTAAAAAAGATATAGGCATCCCTGTGTTCATTGCTGCATCATTCATAATAGCCAAGATATGGAAGCAACCTAAGTGTCCATCAATAGATGAATGGATAAAAAGGATGTGGTACATATATACAATGAAATATTACTCAGTCATAAAAAAGATGAAATCTTGCCATTGGCGACAACATGGATAGACCTAGACCAGTGATGGTGAACCTTTTGAGCTCGGCATGTCAGCATTTTGAAAAACCCTAACTTAACCCTGGTGCCGTGTCACATATAGAAATTTTTTGATATTTGCAACCATAGTAAAACAAAGACTTATATTTTTGATATTTATTTTATATATTTAAATGCCATTTAACAAAGAAAAATCAACCAAAAAAATGAGTTCGCGTGTGTCATAGGTTTGCCATCACTGAAGAGAGTATTATGTTAAGTGAAATAAGTGAGAAAGAGAAAGACAAATACCGTATGATTTCACTTATATGTGAAATCTAAAAAATAAACAAATAAAACAAACAAACAAAACAGAAATAGACTCAAATACAGAGAACAAACTGATGGTTGCCAGAAGGTAGGGACATGGGAGATGAGTGAAAAGGGGAAAGAAGAGGCACAAACCTCCAGGTATAAAAAAAAAGTCAAGGGGATGCAATGTACAGTATAGAAAACAGATTATCATAGTAACTCTGTATGGTGAGTTACTAGATTTATTGTAGTGAGGACATAAGGACATAAATGTTGAGTCACTATGCTGCTCACCTGAAATTAATATAATATTGTATGTCAACTATACTTAAAGTTAAAAAATGGACAGACTAGAATTGTATTTGGAGGAGGGGGGCGCACAAAAAGACTGGGTTGTAACTACTGGCCATGGTGGAGGTTCAAGGAGCCAAACATGACTAGGAGACAGTTCTGCTGTGTGAGAAGCAGATACCTGGAGGGCAGTTTGGCTGTCTTAATGCCAGTGGTGAGTGGTCCCTGGTCGGTGCATAATGCACATTAACAAAACAATTATCTTACAGCGAAGTAATGCATTCCACCTGCACAATATTTACATAAATAAGAACGTTGGCATATTTTCCTTACTACACTGTTGTCTTACAGAATTTGCCAAAGTAAAACAGTCTACCATCAGCAACGAGACCTGAGAGGACATTTTGTAATCTGTAACAAATGACACTAATTTAGTGCAAACAAAACACACCCAAAACTTAATTCTCATGTAAAAAGAATCCTTCACCTGTAACAATTTCTAGATAACATTATTTAGGTGACTTTTTTGTATTGCGCCATTAGCTTGCCCATGTTTTGTCCCTTTGGTGGGGCTGGGAGAAAATGTGTTGTTGGTTTAGTAATGTGAGAAGGAGGTTGGTGGGGTAAGGAAATGATGCCTCTTTCTTTTTCATGCTCCTAGAAATCAGGAGTGAAAGCTGTGAGAGGGAGAGCGGAGAGTACAGGAACATCATGCTGCCCCCTGCAGGTGATGCAGGAGACAGCAACGATTCCGCCACAGTCTACAATTCCTGCGGAAAGCATCAATCAAGTCAGAAACTGCAGAGAAACCCCATTCTCAGCTTTTCCTCTAGAAACCCACTTAGGAATGACTCCTGTGTTGCTTCCCATACCTCCTCTTTTTTCCTTGAGTGGTAGCTGTAGTGGCTAACTTGGTCCTTCTCGCTAAGTGAAAGGATTCAGAAACTCTTGGACAATATATTACAACAATTTGTATTGCTGGTCTCTGGAGTGTTGGGCTTATTTTTTTTGGGGGGGGGCGGGGAGGGAAGACACCACTCCCCCCTCCCCCAACAGAAAATCAAGGCACTTCCCTGCACACAACATAGGATCTGTTTCTCTTACCATCAGAGAGAGATTCATAGTCATAATCATACTCGTCCTCTTCATCTTCCTCCTCCTCATTATTAGTAGGTGGGGGGTTGACATTCCCACCATTGTAAGCCTGAGCTTGCATGGATGCTAACTGATGAGCCTGTAAGATATCAACAATTAAAGACTGCAGATGCTAAGCTACTGAACGTTCATTTACAGCTTTCAAAATGACCATCTCACACTAAAAGTGGTTTATCCTATTTTGATTCATTTGGGGAAGGAAAAAAATATCTAAATTCACTTGAAGTACAAGGTTAATCATTGGGTGAATGTTAACTTTTCTGCAAGAGGGATCCTGGCGCTTTTCTTCAAGAAAAATCCTAAGGAATCGTGGTTCCCTGAGGCAAACCCTCCCGGAGAAACCTTGGTGCCTCAGACCCAAATGCTGAAGTGGACCAGCCCATCAATTCTGGAAAAGTAAATCTTTGCAAAGAAACCATTTTTCTTTTTCCTTCTTAAAATAATATTTAAAGGCCTTTGACCTTGAGAAAAATGTTAGAATCCCTATGGATGAAGAGACCAACAGATTAATTTCATCAGATTAATAGGCTTAGAAACTTCCAAAAACTTGGTATCGCTGCTAGGAAGGTCATAAGCCTTATATTCAACTAGAACCACTGTGTGGGGTTATGACAGGACACAAGAATACAGGTCTGGGCACCTATTTTAGGAAATAATCCAAAATACAGGATTATTTATGTGTATATAATATTTATACATGTAAATGTATATGTGTGTGTATCTGTAAAAACACACATACAGTGGTGGACAAAAGTAGGTTTGTAGTTGCATTGTGACATTATTTAATAAAGCTAGTGTAATAATCATAAGCATGTCTTTTTCCATATGAACAACTGTAAACCTACTTTTGCCCACCCTGTACATTTCTATATCCTTGGTTCAGCATCTATGTATCTCTTGTAATGATATAAAATGACATGCATGAAAGGCTAACTCTTGAATGGAAATACAGCAGGATTCTTGGCCTGTTTTTGTGGCACAGGCCCCTCGGGCAGTGTGGTGAGGTAGGACCCCTTCTCAGAATGACGTTATAAATGTATAAAAATCAATATATAAGATTATACAGGAAAAAAAAAAGAATGGTGAACACAGTTATCAAACGTTGAAAAAACAAATCTGTGTAATAGGAATATGGGTTTCTTTATTAACACAGTAAAAGCATGAATATAGGTAGGCCAAGTAACGTTTTTGAAATAGTGACGAGCATACGTAATTCTTGGAGACATTTGTAACAACTGTGATATAATATGAGAAATCTACAGTTTCTGTTGGTGACAAAGACATAGGTACTGCCAATGTCACTGTGGTTTGTTCTCTACATTTATAATTGGAGGAAATGCTAAATTTCAGCCAACAGTTAGTGAAAATGAAGATGTAGTTGTTTTTTTTCCATCTAAATTCTGTGACCCCCTGAATTCTATTTCTGGATATTACCAAGGTTAAGAATCCCTGTAATACAGGTTGTTTTGGGCCTTGGAATTATGTATATTTTAAAATAATTATGTATTCCCCGAAGTTCTTGAATTGTGGTCATACGACCTTTATAATAAATACATATACGTAAGCAAGATACAGATTAGGCTATGTCTATAGTTGTATCCACCTGGATAACTGAACACTGTCAAGGCTGGGACTTCTCAAAGTGAGTTTTGTGTAACACTCTCAGTTATGTAAAAACTGACAATTAGCCCTAGCCGGTTTGGCTCAGTGGATAGAGCCTCTGCCTGCGGACTGAAGGGTCCCAGGTTCGATTCTGGCCAAAGGCATATGCCCGGGTTGGGGGCTTGATTCCCAGTAGGGGGCATGCAGGAGGCAGCCATTCAATGATTCTCATCATTGATGTTTCTCTCTCTCTCCCCCTCTCCCTTCCTCTCTGAAATCAATAAAAATATATTTAAAAACGGACAATTACAGTAACCACAAAACACAATGGAAGTTTGGAAACAGCGACTTAAACAAACTGAAACACATTCTTACTACGGAGCTTCACATGGCCTTTACTTAATATGCTAAAGGGCACGACTTGTCAAAGATTTCCAGTACAGCCTTTCCCATGCTTTTTAATCGGGGAATTTTAAATCTTTTTTCAGAGAGTCTCATAGGATTAGCAGTCTTCAAAGCTTCAGGGAATCTTCTCTAGACACAAGTGAGCCACAAAAGCATGTCTATTAGTCATGGATAAGAGAAGGGCCTCCACATAGCAAGCATTCAAGGGAGAGCCAAATGCTGGGAATGATGCTGCAAAGAGCCCGGTTGGCTCACTGGCAGAAAAATGTGCGAGCTGTATGCTAGGAGTGGAGCCACGCAAATTCCCACTGCCTAGTAAATGTTGGAAAGTGAGTGGTAAGGTCCCTAGATGCTCAGATATTTCCCCCAGCACAAGAAGTATGGGAGAGGTGCCCAAATGGACAGTCAAGAGCGGACACCACTATTCTTTGCAATATGCTACTTATTCTGAGACAGAAAAACAGGCCCCCTAGCCCTTGAATAAAAGCAATTCAGGCCCTGTCAGTTTTTCTCAGTGGTTAGAACACTGTCCTACTGACCGCAGGGTCATGGGTTTGATTCTGGTCAAGGGCATGTATCAGTTTGATCCTTAGTTCTGGTCGGGGCACATGCAATCAATCAATGTGTCTCTCTCACATTGAGGTTCCCTTCCTCCTTCCTTCCCTCTCTCCCCCCCCTTTCACTCTCTAAAAAAATCAATGGAAAAAATATCCTTGGATGAGGATTTTTAAAAAAGCAATTTAAATATAGGTTAGGGGGTTAAAGTGAAGGGTCAGACGAGGAGATGGGTCTTGGCAGAAACCATGTCTTACTCTGCTCTGTTTCCCCAGAGCCTGGGAGTTCAGGAGACAAGGTCAGAATACAGGAAGTCTGGTGGGGTGCAGTCAGGAGGGTTTAATAAGAGCCTCAGCCAGAGCTTGAGGCAGATGGAGGGCGTCAGAAACCCCACTCTGAGTTAGCCCATCCTCACTGAGGGTAAGTACTTGTATAGAAATGACCCAGGCCTTCCGAGTTAGGGGCTGGGTCTGCGCACACTGGAGCTCAAAGCATCCATTCACCCAGCCTGGTGTGAACGCAGGTCACCAGGTCCATGGCCTGCCGGGCACCTGCAAGTCTTCGCAGACATGACTGTCAACATTCCCTGGGATATCAGGGTGGGATGGTCTTAAAAAACTGGAAATGGGATTACACTGTCCCATGTTTCCAAAAGTTGTGGAAACTATATGGTGGGAAGTGCCAAGTTACCTGACAATAGCTGGCTGTGAGAACACAGGAAATGAAGAGGTGGTTAGGAAGAGTTAGCGTGGTTTTACTAACAGATCTCCCACACGGTAACCGCTTAGGCTTTCTGGATAAGGTCTCACTTTGTGGGAAATAACAGATGCGCAGTATTTCCAAACTTCCAGGATGACACAATTACAACAGATTACCAGGCCTGACTTGAAAATTCAGACTTCATTGGGCAGATTAGGGACCTAAGGATCTATGTTTTTAAATCTGTTCCAGTGATTCTCATCAATATATTCTGACTCCTGTGTTGTGTTTGAGAAGGTCTTTTCTGAGGACCTAGGTCTGAGTCCTAGCTCTGCCACGAGGAGCTGGGTGGCACTGAGACAGTCCCATCAAGGGCTCGGCAGGCCTCACTTTCCTCTTCTATAAATAATGGAGTTGAAAGTGACTCTGGAGAAATGTGGGCTGCAAGAAAGGGGAGCACCAGCCGGGAGCGCTGAGCACTAACCTCCAGGAGGTTCTGTGAGAAGGGCCACAGGCTCTCTATTCGGCTGTCTGGCCCAAGGACAACCTGGGATGAGGGCACAGCTTGAAAAACTGACATTGACGACAGATGTCAAAATTTACAATTGTAAATGCAATAATTGCATGCTGCAATAACATACCAAAGTCAAGAAGAGTGAATTTAACCAAGATAAATATGAGGCTCCTGCACATGAAAGGTTAAAATTAACTGCAAACCTGGAAAAATGGGGAGATGAGACATAAGAACAGTCCCTGTGAAAAGAACTGAACTCTTTTTTGTTTTCCACAAAGTCAACATGAGCGTGGTGTACATGAGAGAATTTTAAAAGTGAGTGCAGTTCTAGGCTGCATTAACTGAGGCATGATGCTCACATGAAGAGAGGTGATGGCTTCCCTGTCCTCATGCTGCCAGACCCTAGTTGGAGAAGTTCTGGAAATCATGTTTTTAAGACTGGCAAATTCAAAAATGTCTACAAATTTAAGACTATCCAAAATATTCTTTTTAAAAAAAAATATATTTTATTGATTTTTTTACAGAGAGGAAGGGAGAGGGATAGAGAGTTAGAAAAATCGATGAGAGAGAAACATTGATCAGCTGCCTCCTACACACCCCCTACTGGGGATGTGCTCACAACCAAGGTACATGCCCTTGACTGGAATCGAACCTGGGACCCTTCAGTCCACAGGCTGACGCTCTATCCATTGAACCAAACCGGTCAGGGCAATCCAAAATATTCTTAATGAAAAGTGAAGGCTCTTAGCAGCCATATCCTGTGGGGAACAGCTGACACAAGAATGTTTAGCTTGGAGAAGAAACACTGGTGGGGAGACACATGCTCGCTTTCTAGATATGCAATGAGCCTGTGCAGCTGCAGAGGGAAGAAGGACTGCCAAAGAGTAGGAGGAACAGGAAGGAGGATTTGGGCTCCGCATAAAGAAGACTTCTGTACAACACAATCTATTCATTTAGTGGGACGGAGGCTGCATAAGTGACTGCAAATGACTGTGTGCAGGGCGGGAAAGGCAAAAGCTCCAAGGACACTCAGACACATCTTGAAGCCAGTAGAGATATGCGCAGGGCAGCGTGTCTGCTTGGCAGGGAGAAGTGGGCAGTAGTTGCTGGGTAAAGAAAGTAGCACAGAGGAACAGTGTTGCAGAAGAAAAGGCCCCCAATGCTGGTTGGTTGTGAGTTAGTGACGCAGCCCTGGAGGAGGGCCAGGCAAAAGAGAACATGGGCTAATATTGTACAGTTGACCCTTGAACAACACAGGTGTGAGGACACTGAACCCAAGTATAACTTTTGACTTCCCCAAAACTTAACCACTAATTGCCTACTGTTAACAGGAAGCTTTACTGATACCATTAATAGCCGATTGCCCATAACCCATAACCTTTCTTTTTTTTAAAAAATATATATTTTATTGATTTTTTACAGAGAGGAAGGGAGAGGGATAGAGTTAGAAACATCTATGAGAGAGAAACATCGATCAGCTGCCTCCTGCACACTCCCCACTGGGGATGTGCCCGCAACCAAGGCACATGCCCTTGACCGGAATCAAACCTGGGACCCTTGAGTCCGCAGGCTGACGCTCTATCCACTGAGCCAAACCGGTTAGGGCAACCCATAACCTTTTTAACAAGAGAACAGTACCTTTTGCTTTAAGATATCCACCGGCGTCTGGTGGGCTTTTAGCTTCTTATTTTTGAGAAGCACCTTCCTTCTAAGTTGGTCAGGGGAAGGAAGCATTGGATCATCTGAGAAATCACTTTCAAATAAGAACTTAGCCACCAGTTTTTCTCCAAATACAGTCTAGAAAGAAAAACACATAATCAATGCCTTTTATCTATACTTGAATTGTTTCAGCCCCGTTGAACTGTTTCTAAAATCCTAGAAAGAGGAAGTAGCAAAGAAGCTGTGTCCCCATCTCCCCAGTAGTTTCCTACTGGGAGGAAGGGAGGTGGTGAGAAGGCAAGGAGGAGGGGCCAGGCCATTTCCTCCACGGGCCGAGCTCTAACTCTCTCTTTAGGAGAATGCTCTGGGGTCTGCTGTAGTAAAGAAGAAAACAGAGATTCAGTTAGAGGCTGTGGTCTGTAGAGTGTGGCCTGCTCCAGATGCGGGTAAGAAATCAAAGAACAGAAACCTTGAAGTAGGTAGGGAGTAGGGACAAAGATGAAAGATAATAGGGAGAATTCACCATTTGGTACAAAGAACCACAGACAACATTCTCACAAAGATTCTGAGCACTGGCTCCAAAGTGGAGTGTGTGTGCTTCAAGGAGGTGGGAGAGGATCAGGCACAGGATGATCCACTGGGGTAAGGGTAGGAAATACGGCAAATGCTATTTCTAGTTATTTTTAATTAGAAAAAAACAAAAATGGAAGCTCACTAATGTTTAATGTACAAACTGAAATGATGGCTCGTTCCCTCAGTCTGTAAGTCAGACTCGGTCTGATGTCAGGAGCTGCTCATGCAGGTCCCGGAGGGACAAGGAGGAGCCTCCTGATGCAGGAGATTCAAAATTTCAGAAATAATGAGGCATATCTGTAATAATGGTATCTCCCCTGCCAGATAAGTATTATGTAATGAAGCATATTCAGTCACATGAAAACTTTAGACAATAAGTAAATAGCAAATTCACTTTAAAAATTTTTTATGAGAGCAAAGTTTTTTCTAACCATTAATAAGTAATAGTGTTTAAAATTCACTTATTACTTTATCCTTTCTGTTATTATTTTTTATATTCTAATTTTTGCATGTTTTAATATATAAAATAAGTTAACAAATAGGATATGTATATGATTTAGAAATAAGTCAATAAGTACACCAAAGGAATACATGTCTTAGTGTTTTACTGTTAGGAGTATATAATCAAAAAAGTTTAGAGACCATTCTTCTAAATGATGGCAAAGGAAAGACATATGAAAGGCTAGTTTTGTTGGCATTAGCGTTTGAGGACATTTCCTGCTGGCTATGTCCCTCCCTCCCACTGAAAGCCATGTTTCCACAAAAGCCTCTACCAGTGGAGGGTAGGGGACATTGTAATAGCATATTTGCCCCTAAATCTGCTTTATAGTTTCTTTGTATAAGGAAGGGCGGAGTGTTACCATAGCAACTGCTGTGGCCACGCCAAGCTCCTTGCCAACTTGGACCCTGTATCTGTGGGGTGGGCCTCAGGAAGATTTGACTGATTTGCCCTGAGATATTGTCAGCTTTTCCACAAACAATGACAGGGAACATCTTGGCACCCCTGATTTGTGGTTCCAGAAGTATTGGAGGGTTGGCCTCTCCAAAGAACCACAGAACAAAACAATGCTTTTATTACTCCAGCTGAAAAGATGAACCTTCCAGGAGAAAGACCAAGCCTCCAGGGCACCCTGATTTCTCAGGTCTGAGGGACCCTAGTTGTGCTTCACAGCTGGAATCCAGCTGTGGTGTGGTCCACAGTGGCGCGTATAAAACTTGCCTTGTCAGCAATGGCAAGACAAGGGCCAAGATACCATCCTGCCTCTTAGCTAAAAGTGTACCTTGAAAATGTCTGCCATTTTTCGTTGCTGAGGCAATGAACAGTGGTTCTCAATTGATATGATGATTGGCAGGTCAGAGTTGATGAAGGCACTGCGATCAATGGCTTCAATCACGTCCTACGAGAGACACAACAGCTCATTAGGGTCTGTCTTATGAGACATCTCATTAGGTATTTGTCCAAGGTGTCAGAAGGCAAGGTACTTACAGCCTCAGAAAGCATCTAAATTATTATTTTCAGAAGGCTCTGGCTAAAGTGGTTTTTATATTTTCAAATTAAGTAAGAGGATAAGGCTATTTTCTATAAAGACATTAAACTGATCATATTGAGTTTTGTTCACATGCTATAAGAAACAGTATGCTGAATTTAACAAATCATTAATATATTTATATTGTGTATACTGTAGGTACATTATTTTAGTTATAGCATCAAAAATTGTAAGCATAAGATACTTTCCTGCTCTCAAGGAATTTATAATTTACTTGGCGCAATGAGACATACACCACATATATTTATGTGTATATGTAAACACAATTATCAACTTCCAATCCCCTCAATGTAAAGTACAAGGATTTTAAGAAGGCTGAATAGGGAAATGAGTTAAAGAGAAAATGCATTTTAGCCATTATCTCCACAGATGAGAGAAATAATAATCTTTTCCAGACAAGCCACAGTTCAGAGAAAAATGATGTTGCACAGCCAAAGACCCTCTGAATGAGGATAGTAATCACACAATGAAATAATAAACTACTTAGAATTTGAAATAGTAATCCAATGAGACTAATCTTCCTGGGCGACCAACTCCCCAAGTGGAACCAATTCTCATTTCTTTATAATGCTAATTATTGAATCATCTCTTAACACATGTTGTTGGCCTCTGTTAGCAGGACAAATGACCTTTAATTCCTATAGCAAAGGAACAGCCCTTGAACTTTATATATCATCACATAATGTAAAAATTACAACAATACAGGGGTAAGCAAAAGTAGGTTTATAGTTTGTTTGGCAGGAAGACAAATAATACAAATAAATACTACAAGAATAAACTGTGTGTCATGTGCTCACAACTGTAAACCTACTTTTGTCAACCCCTATATTATCACGTGAAAACTAACTTAAGGTAATGGTAACTAAACTTTGGTTGAATGAGAATCTAATAAGATTTTTATATCAATTCCCAGAAAAATGAACATGCGTGCCGCCTACATAACACTGTAAATGCTGTGGAGTCTTCAGAGCAAGGATCAGAACCCTCGACCTAAGGTACAATGTGTTAGTCACTGATTTAAGTGGCAAATGAAGATAATGACTCTTTGAGATTTGATTTAAAGAAAGCTATGAAGCATCACCTTGAAGGGGATCTTGGTTGTCAGTGTATGTCCATGGTAAATGATGGGCATCCCATCATCTCCGTCCCAGCAGTCCAACTCTACGCTCCTACAGCCTTGCAGGAGGACCTGTGCGATTAATGAAAAAATCCACCCCAGATAAGTGAATGGAGAGAAAGCCTCAAATTAAGCCCCGCATATGATTTTATATATTAGTGTTCACATTCAGGGCTAAAGCAGAAGGGCATGCGAACTAAAATAAACATTGCATCTTGGCCAAGGGCCACAACTCATCAGGGGTGGGGAAGGCAGAGGACAGATTAAGGTGGAAAGAGTGCTTACCAGAGCTGAATACCATCGGAAAGTAAATTTGATAGCAAAAACATGTGACCATTTTCCCAGCAACTTTGGTCTCTCAAGGGAGCTGTATATACATGGCACATGCTGAACTGAGAGAGCCAGGCTGGGCTCTGTCTAGGCAGATGTCAGCGGAGGTGATGCCAGAGCCCAGAGGAGATGAGGCCACTGATTCCTTAATTAACTTAAAAAATATGTTTTTATTGATTTCATAGAGGAAGGACGAGGGAGAGAAATGGAAACATCAATGATCAGAGAAAATCATTGATCGGTTGCCTCCTGCACACCCCCTACTGGGGATTGAGCCTGCAACCCTATATGCCCTGACCAGGAATCAAACCGTGACCTTCTGGTTCATAGGTTGATGCTCACCCACTGAGCCACACCAGCCAGGCCTTAATTAACTTTTATTAAATGAAACCAATAAGGATAAAATCTTCATTTAGATACAAATTCTGCCACTGGCTAATTAATGCATTTGCTATGAACATGTAGCATGTAAGAAAGTATAAGCAAGGAGTTATCAAGGACTGTTGTCTAATCCTACAGCAGAGATGGAAAATAAGCCATAGTTGACTCTCCCATATCTTTAGCAGACATTAGTAATCAATAACAGCACAGCTGCTCCATATATATATATATATATATATATATATATATATATATACACAACAATGATGAGAGTCACTGATTAGCTGCCTCCTGCATGCCCCCCTACTGGGGATCAAGCCCACAACGCAGGCATGTGCCTTGACTGGGAATCGAACCATGACATCCTGGTTCATAAGTCGACACTCTATCACTGAGCCACACTGGTTGGACTACTCCCTAAGCTTTGATATGTTATCTCACAACCTTTTTGGCAAAGTGCTCCAGGAAACACTACCAATGAATCAGTTGACATGATACCTCTTTGCTATCCTGGACCTAGAGCTGGAAGCAGAGCTCCTGACATGTGTGTGTGGGTTGCAGCTCTGCATTATTTGCTTGAAGCAACCTCTTCCTCCATAGAATCTATTAGCAGACTGTATTTTAGGACAGTCTTGAAAGGGTATTGAAAGGACAACCCATGCCAAGAGCATATCTGCAAATGGGCCAAGTCATGGATGTGAGAATCCACATAATTATTACCATGTGACAGCACTCCAAAACTGGGGGCTATTGGCCAGTAGAGTTGCTGCAACAAAACTGATAGTGGAATCCCTCTTATTTTAATATTTTGTATGAAATATTTTGTAGATCCTTCCCACTGCACATCATGCAGCATTCAATCTTCCGGGGTGACCCATCTTCCCAGGTGGAACCTATTCTGTGGCCTGAAATCCCACAGCTCTCAGCTTCTTCCTGCAGCTAGAGTTCCCAGAGGTGTGTTGCTCGGGGCTGAAAACTGTTGTGTAATACGTCAGCTGAAGCATTAGGCTGCTCATCTCTGTGGTGCACCTGCCACAATGGGAAGAACGTTCACTGCCTCGCAGCAGATGGGGTGATTTTTCAGCATGAAAAGACTAGCGCTCTTTATCAAGGTCTGCAGGACCTTAAGCTGTCCGTATATGGCTAGCAAAGGAAGACCAGAGCTGGCAATTCCAGGTGAAAACAGGGCTTTCTCTCAGTCCCCATCTGACCCATAGAATAACGCTAGGAAGTAATTAGAAGGGCTGAGGGAGGGAGCGGTGAGAAATAAAAGTAAAGGGAGACTCATCCTAGGTTTAATCACCTCTGTGTGTCTATTTGAGGGGCTGTTGCGCCTAGTTCAAAAGCTGCGACAACCTCACTTTGGGTGTAATGTTAAGGAGTTAAAGAAACATTTTGAAATCAAACAGAAAAATGCAGTAGGAATAAAAGTTGGGACATTGGTCTTTGCTTATTTTCTTGGGAGAAATTCTCTCTCTCTCTCTTCATCCCCCCCACCCCCCCCCAAAAAGCAATGGATTTCAAACTTTTTAACCTTGGGATTCTCTGTGCAAAGGCAGGGCCAATATGCACAACTCATCAAAGAGCAGGACTTCAGCTGCAGGGGGGTGAGCATGGGACCCCTCTGCTCTACTGCTTGCTCATCTCAGTGTCAGCAGCTGAGGCCCCTTCACAGCACTTCTATTTCGAAAATCATTATTTTAAGGACATGTCTTCATTTCATAATAAAAGCCGCTTAGCTTTTAGAGTTTAGAGCACATATTTCATACTAGATAAACTTTGGGACAGAAGTTTGACCCATGCTTTGAGGAATATCTGAGCTAATCTGGAGAACAAAGGAACCTCTGGTCTGCTGGGTTTGTGTAAACAATACAATGGCAATGTTTACACTTGGACTCCAGCCTTTCCCCATAAGCTCAATCACACATTTACATGGGTGTCCCCCCAAAATGTATAAACACTTAACAGCTGATAGCTCAATTGATGCTTCTTTTGTTCAGATTTAATCCACTGGAATGAATAATTATTCAAAGTATGCATACAATTTTGGGGGGCACCCTGTACTCCTTGGAACTAACCTAGCTTCTTCTTCCTGATTGATTACCTCTTCTTGCAGGAGCTCACAAGACAGGCAGCAGACATGAGGGAATTGCAGAAAATATAACAGGGAGACAATTGACATTCAGATTATTGAGAGTTGGATGTTTAGGTCAAAAGGATGTGCTTTTTTCTAGTCTAGAGAACCTACTGAATTGCCCAGAATATGCCCATGAATTAAGTATATAGGAACAGTGCCTACAGTCTGGGCAGATCACTCCCCCTTAAGTTGGTTACCATGGGGATGGATTGATTGTCTAACAAATTGCAAAGCATAACAACTAATACTTTGGGAATAACTTCAGAAAGAGTTGCATTTTCTACTATGCTTTCCCACTACAATATATTGATTTATTTAGCATTTAGGGAAACAATTAGATAACTTTCCCATGGGAAAATCTAATTTTAGTAGGAGTAGGTCAGACTAAGTAGGATCTAAAAGCTATGAGTCTCAAATATTATTTTTCTCTCTCATTGCCCAGAATAAAGGTTAAGTATAGATAGCGAGGAAAAACAAAACAAAAAGAAGTAAAGAAAACAACTGTACGTATAGGCTGTTTTCCCACACGTCATATTTCCTCACATTTCACAGGCAGTAGTTTCTGAGTTCTTCACAAGGGTCTGGGTCAGGTTTTTGTGACTTTGGGGGTTACATAAATAAGGTTTAATGACAAGCACATTCCAAGGGGATTTCTCAGTACCTGGCTGTAGAGTTCTACTGAGGATTCTCCTTTGAGCTGATGGCCTGTGAGGTAGGTATTGTGTGAAGATTCAATGTAATAGTAAGAGAGGGACAGCTGTAATTCTTTAATGTTCTCCTGTGATTCATCGTTTTTTGAAGCAAAGTTGTCTTTATCCATCAGAAACCTAGGAGGAAACAAATTTTCTTAGGATTGCATGGGAAAAAGATATACTTTAAATGACAGGGCAAAAGATATTTTAAAAGTTACCTTGCAAATCCTTCAAATGACATTAGGCCCTGATGACACATACTAATGCTAGGCTCAAACTTCTGCAAGGAATACAAAAAGAGTGTTATTTAGGTAAAGGAACCTAAGGGGGAAAACACCACATCATTTTTTAAAACTGTTCTGTTTTCATCAGGAAACATCTAAACCAAATATTTGAACTAATTTAGCTATGTAGTGGTAAGATGTAGATTTTTTTAAAAAAAGAAAACATTTATTACAAGTGAGTTTATTATACGAAGCATATTTACTTAAGAGAAAAGAATAAGGTTGATTTATATGAAAACAAATGGTATCAGTTTATCCAGGTGAAAATGGGGATAAAAACAGCAGCTATCATAGAGCTGGTGAGAGGTAAATTAGATGCTTCTCATAGAGCACTTCATACAGTGCTTGCACTCGATAATATTACAGTGAGCACTCAGCATGTGATAATCATCTGACATTTTAAGCATTTCCAGTGACCGAATCCAGTCGCTGGAGAGCTAAGCCACTGATTCCCAATCAGTTGAAAAGGGAGATTGAAAACCTTGACGAATTCTGTTGCAGGTGACGCAGCCACCATGAATGGTCTCATCCCACTGTGTCCTACCACCCTGTCCTTGCAGCCGCCTGGTTACTGATGAAAGCTTCCTGCTAGGTCTCTGCTTCCACTCCTTCCCCAGCACATTTCATTCTCCAGTGGAGTCAGAGTGACCTCTTACAAACAGAAATCATGTCATGCTCATTACTTCGCCGCTCAGACATTTCCAGCAGCTTCCCATTTGTCATGGACTAAAGCCAAACTCCTGACCGTGGCCTACATGCCTAAGATGGCTGGGCCCCTGCCTACCTGTCTGAAATCGTGTCTACGGTGGTCCCTCTGGCTTATGCGGTTCCCATGACACAGCTTTTCTATTGTTTCTCATAAATGTCGAGCTCGCACCTGCTCTGGTCTTTGAACTTGAGGCTCCTGTCTAGAATGTCCTTTCCTTAGACCTTCAATAGCTTACTTCTGCAGGGCTCAGCCCAGTGTAACCTCCTCAGAGTGGCCTTGGCTTATTCCTCTCAGCCTTCCTGCATCACTCCATCCCCTTACTCTGCTCAGTCTTTTCCAGAACCCAGTATTATTACTTGAAATTATATTATACAGGGCGGGGCAAAAATAGGCGTTCAGTTGTAGCTACATAAAGCAGAGTTTATTCCTGTATTATTATTTATTAATTATTGCATTATTCTCCAGATAAACAACTGTAAACCCACTTTTGCTCCACCCTGTACCTTTATTCATTTATTGTCTGCCTCACCCACTTGAATGTAAGCTGTGTGGAGGGCCAGATCTTGATCTTATGTATTACTATATTCCCAGGTCCTGGAACAGACCCAGGCCCATAGCAGCAATATAAAAAATATTTGCTAAATGACTAAAAAGGTTGAAAACCTAGACTACTAATTCTATTGCATGTGCTAGAAGAAGAAGAAGGAATGGTGTACTGATTCCTTTTAATAGTCACTGAGTAAGAGAAGGCTTGGGACCTGTGTTAAATTATATGTTAAATAAGAACACTTATGGCCCTGGCTGGTTTGGCTCAGTGGATAGAGCATCGACCTATGGACTGAAGGGTCCCAGGTTCGATTCCGGTCAAGGGCATGTACCTGGGTTGTGGGCTCGATCCCCAGTAGGGGGCATGCAGGAGGCAGCTGATTGATGATTCTCTCTCATCATTGATATTTCTATCTCTCTCTCCCTCTCCTTTCCTCTCTGAAATCAATAAAAATATATTAAAAAAAAAAAGAACACTTATGTATTTGGTATTTAAAAAAAAAACAACCCAACCCCCTTCTATTTCTGCCCCAAATTTAAAGAGTCTTTGGAAAGAAGTATGGAAAGAATAAATGTTTAGCAGAAAATAATTAGAAGAGTCAGAGGCTTTACACGAGTGTGCACACGAAACAGGTGGGTACCTGGATGATGCTGAGGATTTCATCGTAAGTGCAGTGTTCTCCCTGGCAGTTCACTAGGAAGTCATTGAGCTGAAGTATGCCGACCCCAAACACGCCCAGGGATGTGCTCTCGACCCCAGTGCCATTCGTCACGATGCTTGCAGCAGCAATGGCGTCAGAGATCTGCCTCTGGTTGTCTGACAGCTGCTGTTTACTCTTAATGAACAGCCCCAAATCTGAGACATTTCTGGTCAACAAATCTGAAACAGAATCACCCACAAAACATGGACAAACTAGCCAGCATCTTTCACAAAGTTCACTTGGCAGATACCTGTCCTATGGCATTATTAAGCTAGAGAAATTCATCACCATTCTGTTTAAACAAGCCAGCAAACTCACTGCATATTCCTGGCTTCACAGAGTAGAGGGATAAAAAAAGGAATCAATGAATAAGTAAAAGAAACTAAGAGAGAGCTAGATCGATGACCTCGAAAGCCCATGAGCTTCGGTATTTGAGGGGAACTAAATGTACATCAATTGGGGATTTTAGGCTGAATTTGAACTTTAGATTTTAGAATAACTATTATATTTTTATATTTTCAGAGACTGAAGATGAACCTTTAAGATTACAGTTTTTTCTGTACTTTAAAGATGTAACTATTTTCTGTGGAATCTCAGAGGGAAGGCAGGGGAGGGTGGGTGGGATGGGAAGAAATTAACCGAAGAACTTGTAGGCATAACCCGTGGGCACAGGAAATAGTATGGTGAAAGCTAGGGGTGGGGGCGAGGGGAGGGCTAGAGGGGCCAAAGGGGGGAAAAACGAGACATAAGTAATACTTTCAACAATAAAGATTAACAAAAGTAAAAGTGTAACTATAAACATTTGTGTGCAGGTTTCTGTGTGAACAAACATAGGTTTTCAGTTCATTTGTATAAATACCAAGAAATGCAATTGCTGGATGGTATGGTAAGAGTATGTTTAGTTTTGTAAGAAGCTGCTCAACTTCCTTCTGAAGTTGGTGGGAGTGTACCATCTTACACTCCTACCAGCAAGGCTGCAGTGGCGCCACATTGACACCACCTTGGCCAGACATGCTCACTGTGGCCACTTGGAAGACAGCCTGGCATGTTCCCACAGAGTCAACCATGGGCTCATCCTACGACCCGGCAATTGCGCTCCGAGGTGTTTACCCACATGAGGTGAAAAGTCACATGCACACTAAAACTTATACACAGTGTTTCATCAGCTTTATTTATCATTGCTAAAACTTGGAAGCAACCAGGAATCCTTCCATAGGTGAATGACTAAGCAAATTATGATAAATCCATACAATGGAATATTATGTATGATAATAAAATCATAATATGCTAATTAGACCAGACAGCCAAACAACCTTCTGGATGAAGCCAGGGCTGTGAGGGCCAAGGCAAGCTGCCACGGCTGTGAGGGCAGAGCCCCTTGCACGAATTTCATGCATTGGGCCTCTAGTCTATAATAATAAAAGTGTAATATGCTAATTAGACTGGACGTCCTTCTGGACGACTTTCCAGACGAAGCCGGGGCTGCAAGGGAAGCTGGGGTACCGGGTGCCAGAAGGAAGCCCAGGTCCCAGGTATCAGAGGGAAACCTACTCTTGCATGGATTTCATGCATCAGGCCTCTAGTTCAGCTATAAAAGGAAATGAGCTATGAAACCATGAGGAGACATGGAGGGGCCTTACATGTGTATTGCTAAGTGAAAGAAGCCTGTCTGAAAAGGCTATGTACTGCGTGATAGTAAATATATGACATTATGGAAAAGGCAATACTGTGCAGACCGTAAAAAAAAATCAATAAAAAAAATCAGTGGTAGCCAAGGGGTCAGAAGGAGGTGGGTGGCATGACTAGATGGAGCAGAGATTTTTAGGGCAGTGAAACTATTCTCTATAACATGGTAATGGTGAATACATGTCATTATACTTATGTCAAAGCCCATAGAATGTACAGAACAAACAGTGAACACTAATGCAAACTATGGGCTTCAGTTAATAACAATATATCGATATTGGTTCCCTGTATCACATATGCAAGATATTAATAACAGGGGAAACTATGTGGGGAGAGAATACTCGAACTCTCTGTTCTTTGCCCCCATTTTTCTGTAAATCTAAAACTGCTCTTAAAAAATAGCCCATTAAATTTTTAAAAAGTGTGACTGATTCACTAACCCATAGTTATGCACATCTTATGACTAAAGTTGAAAAAGGTTAATATTCTTAGCTAAGGACAATAAAGGTTTTAAATAATTAAAAAGCAACTGCATAAAAGAGGACTATTTTTGTTTTTGCTTCGTTGTGATTATATTTCCCAGCAAGAACAGAAGAGCAAAAGAAAAGCCTTTAAAATGCATGGTGGTGCTGGTGCTGGTGGTGGTGAGTGGGACAGAACCAGACGTTCTGGTTTACATATTCGGGAAAATGTCCTGGGTGTCCAGACAGCAGTGCTCTGCTGAGGTCACCACAGACTCTCGTTGCTAAAGGGCAGACAGCCCCCACCCTGCGGCTGAGCACCCGACCGCCTGAAGGCAGGGCAGAGACCGGTGGTTCTCAACTGGGACACACCACACCCCAGGGGGACACGTGGAAATGGGCGGGAAAGGGGTTCTGGTGGTCAGCTGGACTGGGGGCTCTACTGATTAAATGTCCTGAAATACATGGACACAATGATGAATTTCCTCGTCTCAAATGCCAATGTCACCTTGAAAAAAATTCTCCCAGTGTTTCGCCATGCTCCAGGTAGCAGCACGCCATGGGAGGCAGGCTGAAGGTGTGTGTGATTCGATAGACAGATCTCCGAGAGAAAGATTAAATTGTTACACAAACCTAGATCAGGCTGAAGACCGCTGGTGTTCTCGTCAATGGTTAGGTTGGTGTAGAGCGGGGCCGACTCGGAGCCCGACCGGTTGCAGGGCACGGCGTAGAGGTCGAAGAGATCCTTCAGGTCCTTGCGGCTCCTTACACTGGGTGAGGAATGAAAACGCCTCGCATGCAGCACTGCTGCTAAAATGTAGGGCTGAGAAAGGGTCAGAAGAAAGCGTGCCATACCTGAAGGATTTGAACAGCTCCACAAATTCAACGAAACTCATGTTGCTGTCGGAAACCATGAAGCTCTGGAAGCCTTTCATTCCTCCTTTGATGCGGCCGTGCCAGCTGCTGCTGCTCCAGGCACTGCAGGAAAAACATGGCCTTAACCGGCAGGACGGGCCCTTGTCTGCCCTTCTGCCCCAACGGGTGCTCTCGCGTGAAGCAATATGCCCAAAAAGATGGACTGCAAGTCATTTGAGGTGGAGGCTATTTTCATTCCTCTCAAAATTAATCCGTATTATGTCAGAGGAGGTCAAACATATTAGATATTGAAACGGCTTCATGTTTACAGACTATTTAATAAGGACATAAGGCTGAGGTTAATATGCTTCCACTAATTAAAACAGTTTTTTGAAATCACAGGCCAGTGGGGGTGGGGAGTGGGTAGGCAGGAATGTAAATGTGTCTTTGAAGAAAAGTCTTTTTTTAAAAAAGGGCCCCAAACTACTGGATTTTAACCTATGGAAAATTATGCATGTTTTCCCCCTATATTCTGAATTACAGAAACCCATTTAAGAAGAATGTCTTGAATGTCTTAATGTCTACTTTTTGTCCTTTTTAAACCAGTTCTTAGATGAATTCGGGGAAGGGCTTTTAATGCTAATGGAAAATGTGAGTCAGAAAAATATTAAGAATGGAAAGAAGCCAACTCTGTCTAGGATTATATTTGCACCTGCCAAAGCTGTATCTATTCAGTATAAAAATATCAGTCAACTAGATCAAAACTTCAGTCTGGCTGTTTCACAACTTTTTTTTTTTTTTTTTTTTTAACGTTCTATACTGGTTCCCTGACGGGATAGTATGAGAAATGTTTTGTCTGGTTGTTAACCAAATCAATGAACAAGATCTTTCTTTTTCTTTCATTTTTGTCTTTTATTTTTCACTTTAGAAATCTTTCAACTTATATAAGAAAGTACAGAGAATATTGTAATGAATAGACTGTTTACCCTTAATCCTGCTAACAATGCTTACTCATAGAAAATGATTCTGTGCTGACACCTCAAGGTTAAAGGAAGAGTATTACAAAAGGCTAGATTTGTATTATTTTGAGGGAAAAGGTTGTTGATCGTCCACATGTGTGGGAAATAGAGGGTGGAGGTTCAGGTAGAGGAAGGTCCCATAAAGTGGTTTATCACTTGCTTTAAGCAGGGAAGTCCCTGTCTTCCTTCTAGTTCCAGGCCTAGCCACTGTCTGAGGCAGCCCCCGACTTCAGGAAGCTCCATGTGTCTACTCTTTCCCTTTCTGGCTCAGATTTGGTTCTCCCCTTGACCAGTATTCAGGCCGACTTTTCTTCTGCCTTGTCTCTTCCTTCTGTTTTAGAACACTTGGTGGGCTGTGGTGCCGGTCCATCTGTGATCTTGCATCTGATATGTTAGCTTCTCTACTTCTACCTCTTTAAAAATATTTTCCTCTCTTATTTTGCCCTTCCTTTCCCTGCTCATGAGCGATTGAAATAAAGGGAAGGGCTATTTACTCCCAGTTACTTGGCTATTTTGTTCATCAAGGATGCTGTATAGGCTGAAATATAATGTAGAGAATTCTAATTCTTTGTAGCTTTTAAATGTGTTACACACCTAAACTTATGGAAAAGTTGTAAGAGTGACACAAAGAATTCCCACGTACCCTTGGCCCAGTTTCACCAAGTATAGAAATCTGAATGCATAAAGCTTATATTGTGTTCATTATTCACACTGTGAAAGAATGCTTCCCTTTAAAAAATGATTTACTGTAGTGTGTGTGTGTATGTTGGACTGCTCTAGGTACCTCACAGACCCATTTCCTCCTCCCACTCTCCTCTCAGATAAAGCAAAGTGTCTATTTTATCTTGGTTCTGTCTGAAATCTCTGCATTTCTTAAACTTTAGTGTGAGGTTGAGGGTGATGGTGTGACTTTCTGATTCCTTTGGAAGGCTTTCATTTTAATATTATTTCTTCTGAGAGGGTAGATGTTGTTTCAAATCTGTAATTTGCATGGACCGTATAAAATAATTGACTATAACACCAGCTTTGAAATGATCTAAACGTATCCGACTTGCTGTAATACATTCATTTCTCTAGACATGTAGAGTTTATTATATATAAGAAGAGTATTAAATATATTTCACCCATTAGAAAAGGGTCAAGCAGCTTACTTTAAAACTTAATTTAGTCTTCATTTAGAGCAGTGCCATCCACTAGAACTCTCTGCAGTGATACAAAGATTCCGTATCTGCACGGTTCAGCCTAGTAGCCACCAACCACTTGTAGCTCTGAGGCATTCTGAATGTGGTTAGTGTGACTGAGAAATGAAACTTTTATTTTTTTATTGTATTTAGAATTTTAAATTTTATTTAATTTTAATTAATTTAAATAGCCTTCCCCTCTCCCCCTACCCGGGGCTAGTGACTACTATATTGGACAGTGCTAATTTGGAGAATTACAGCTCAGATTTTGTTACTGCTATTGCCCTTTGAGGGGCTGATGTGTCAAATAATTAGGAGCAATGATAGCACTATGAGAAGATAGGGCTATAAAATCAGGAAAATTAGTTAAAAACTCGGGGTCTTTCCGTTCTCAATGTCATTGCTAAGTCAAAACTAGAGACAGTCTTTCCACAGAGCACTGGAGGAAGATGCCCTGCTACACAGCCTGACTGCTGTGAGGGTCCTGCTGTTTTATCATGTTAAGGCCCCACCTGGACGGGCTCTTGTTTGAAGACAGCACAGGGGAGGACACTGGCCTGATGGGAGATGACGTCCCGGCAGCCAAGATGGGGGACCCAGCCGTAGTCAGAGAATGGGCTCTTCTGGAAGGGAGAGGGTTAGGCGGGCTTGTGATGGCATTCGCCTCTGTGAGCGGAAGAGACAAAAGAGACAATGACCCCCTTTCCCTCAGAATCAAAGACAACAAAGATGCTTCTGGATGTCTGAGCAAATCATACTCTATGCAGCAATTTCTACACAAGGAGCATCAAAATATTCAGAATGAACTCATCTGGAGGGTTCTCAACCCTGGTACAGATGAGAATCATCTGGGGGAGGTTAAAAAGTATGCAGCTGTTCAGGTCCCAGCCACAGCATCTGAATCAGTGGCTGGAGTGTGGATAGGGCACCAAGATACTTATTTATTTATTTATAGTATATTTTTATTGATTTCAGAGAGGAAGGGAGAGGGAGAGAGAGATAGAAACATCAATGATGAAAGAGAATCATCGATCGGCTGTCTCCTGCACGCCCTCTACTGGGGATCGAGTCCACAACCCAGGCATGTGCCCTGACCAGGAATCGAAACCCGTGACGTTTTGGTTCCTGGGTCAACGCTCAACCACTGAGCCACACCGGCTGGACCAGATATATTTTTTAAAAGCTCCATTTTCCAGTTGAGAATCACTGGTCTAGCCCATCAAATTGTACCCTGTATGGCTAATACTCCCTGTCAATAATGGCAAGGTAAGTGATGAGAATTTTCTTCCAAGTACACAGTGCTTGCAGAAATAGGGTTCCATCATCTAGTTAAAACAAAGGTAAGTACATTTCACAAGATAAAGAGTTCTGCTAAGAATGCCCACCACACTTAAATTACCATTTAAACCCAATGTGTATTTTTCTCATACAAAAGTGCCAGCTGGGACTGTGCTGCTTTACCTGACTCCTCTTGCTCGTTAATGTCCTGAGGATCAGAGCCACTCCAGCTTCGACACTCTTTGTGCAGTTTGGCCTTTCGGGTGGCCATCTCGTCGTCGGTGGCCTCTCCACTCTCACCCTGGGAACACAAAACGCACAGTGGTTCCCCGTCTGTGTTTCTCTTCCATCACTGCTTTAGTCCGGGCAGGTCCCTATTTTCTGAGGGACCCACCTTCAAGGCTGCCTCCCCCCTGGGGAAGCCAGTAAAGACCCACGTGAAAGCTGACCAAGTATTCACATGGAATATTATCCCATTTGTCCTTCACTATACAGCAGCACTCCTCAGGGGAGGGGGCCCATAAAAGGAGGCACGTGATCCCTGGAATCTCCACGTAGAGACAGAATCATAAAGCAGATAAAGTTCCACTTAGGCAGCAATAGCCTCCTATCTGCAACCCTGGGGAAAATATATCATCATGTTATAGTGATAATGTATATAATGAAGTATGTAATAAATAATAATAAATATATTGTGATAAAAAGCGTAACATAAAATTCACCGCCTTACCCATTTTAAGCGTGGGAACTATATGTGCCTTGTTGTGCAACAATCCCTAGAACTTTCTCACCTTGTAAAACTGAGACTCTATATCCACCAAACAACTCCCCTCCCCCCGTTCCTGGCCACCATCATTCCACTTTCTAAGAGCTGGGCCGTCCTAGTGCCTCATGTAAGCGGCACCACACACTACTCGTCCTTTCGTGACTGGCTTTTTTCACTCAGGGTAATGTCCTCACGGTGCACCCATGTTGTAGCATAGGAAAGAATTTTCTTCCTTTTTCAAAGTTGAATTATATCTCATTGTATGCCTACATCACCTTTTCTTCATCCTTCATCTGTGGATGAACATTTAGGCTGCTTCTCATAACACATTTAGAAGGTCCTCTGAGATCTTCATAATCTGATCCTCGTTCCTTCCTCGTCCTTCCTCGCCCAGCACAGAGCCCCTGCTCCAGCTTGGAGCATGAACTCAGAACTATATGTGCTTCCCTGAACAAGCCACATCTTTCATGCCTCTCTGTTGCCTCATCTGCCTGGGATGCTTTTCCCTGTGTTGTCTGTTTGGTAAACTCCTATACAACCTTCAAGACCCATATGTCAATTGCTCTGTGAAGTCTTTCCTGCCTGCCTCTCAGCCCTATATCTTCTTTCTCTCCGCTCCTAAAGCACTTTGCAGGCGGTTTAACAATGACTAATTTAGAACTCACTGTGTTTGTTAACACATCTGTGTCCGTCTATGGACCCTGACTTTTTCCTGGTGTTGTTGATTCAGTTCCTAGCACTGGGTGTGGCCCCCAGGAGGTGCTGGGTAGACCGTTGTACTTCATTTATTTGATGCCTTATGTTGTCCTCAATCCAAATAGCCTAAAATCATTTATGGTGATATAGACCATGCAATGGTCCCAGATGATTGGGTCTGATGTTCAATAAACAAGTAACACTCTACCCTCATAAGGATTTTCTTCTTCTTCTTGGCAGTACCGATGCCCAGGGTGTTGTTCCTCTGCATGTTGGGCTTCTCGGCACTCTTTGCTGATGTCCCAGGGCTGGGGTTTCGAGTACTCCATCGTCTGCCACCAAACAGCTCCACAGCGTGAGCCAAAGTTGGGCCTTCATACCGTCCATCCTCCTGTAGAATAACCGTATGCTGAACACAGACGGGAACAGCAAGCAATGGGGAAGTAAATACATGCATGGCTTCCAGGAAACTCCCAGGGATGGAGGAGCACAGACAGCCACTGAGGAATAACAATCCGGCCACCCAAGTGGCTCTATTTTCTAATCCTCAGGACTCTGGGGGATTTCATCACATCCTCTGCAGTCCTGGTCACCTCCCTGCTGAGTTCCAGAGACGTGCTTTAATAGGGCCATGTTCAACTGGTATTAACAAAAATAATTTCCCTTCCCATTTTCCAAGGTTATGTACAGAATTACCACCCCCAAAAAATTCATTAAGACGTATTTTGCAAATTAGGGCTTTGGAGGACTTGGGTGTGTGTGAAATCTATTTAAGTAAAATCAATCCTTATTTTTTATTGTTTTACTCTAGGTATTTTCACATTGTTTGATGCTTGGGACAGTCTGATTTAAAGATAGGGTATGTGGCATACCTAAAATTCACTCTGGAGGGTTCTGAGGAACACCTCAAAGAGTTGGGCTGCCATCCTCCCAAGTGACTAATATCCGGGAATAGAGCGCCCAGGGACTCAGAACACCAGGCATATGATGATGCTGTGAGCAGCAAAAACACACTCGAAGGGCAGGCAATGTGACCTACAGTAGCTGTTTCTCCTAAGGCAATGCCATATAACATGCAGTGAGCAGCAAGAATTTATTTATTGAATTAAATATTAATAGTTCAATTGATAATGGTAAAAAATTCTCCCTATAAGTTAGGAAACCCAGTTAATAAAACTACAAAAAGTTGCATATGAATTAAAGATATTGATAGCTCACAGGTTGCATAAAAGGGCTCTTTTAAAAATACTTTCCATTTACTACCTTTATTTTCTGCAAATGTTTAAGGCTAGTCCTCCTTTGTAGTTCTAAAGAAGTGGCTGTAAATGGATTTTGCTTTGTAAATAATAAAGAGGCCTTGTGTGTGTGTGTGTGTGTGTGTGTGTGTGTCTGTGCGTGTGCCTGCTCCTTCTTCCTAATGTTCAATGACTGTCTGATTTTATGACTTGAGTTGTGACCTATCACTTCCTGCATCCTGTTCAGGATCCCAGGATGCTGAGCAAATTAGGTACTTGATGTGGGAAACTTTTGGTGCTCTCTTGTAGTGGATATCTGTGATTTATACCTGTCCATTAATCATTTCTCTTTTCTCTAACCATACCCCAATTTTACTTTATCCCTTATCCCCTGGATATAGTCAGGGGTATAGCATCCCTTGACCAATGGTTGACACAGGATCCAAAGAAACCCAACAGAACTTCCCTCCCTGGAAGAAGAATCTTGAATGCAGTGATGCAAGAATAAAAATGGCTGGAGATCATTCCACCTGGTGTAGGCTTGCTGAAGAAAGTCCCGGCTAACAGGTCCCTACAATTGGTTCCAAAGTAGCCAATGACCCAATTTCATAAATAGGTTTTATCTACCTTACTGAATAGCATACTCTACATACAAAAGAAATTTTGTAAAAATTTTATCTATGGGTCTTAACTAATACATTTTCCAAAATTTAATAACTCCATTAAAATTTAAAACTCTGCAAAAGATACTATTAAGACAATTAGAAGACAAGCCACCGAATGGGAGAAAATATTTGCAAAAGAAACATCTGATAAAGGACTGCTATCCAAAATATACAAAGAAATCTTAACATTCAACAAGAAGAAGGCAATCAACCTGATTTTAAAAATCACCAAAGACTGTAACAGATACTTCAGCAAAGAAGACATACAGATGGCAAGTAAACATACCCAGAGTGAACACTAAGATAAACTGTGGACTTTGGGTGATTATGATGTGTCAATGTAGGCTCATCCTTTGTAAGAAAATGTACCATTTCGGTGCCTGATGCTGACTATAGGGGAGCCTATGCATGCATGCTGGTGGGAGGTTCATGGAAAATCAATGTACCATTCTCTCAATTTTATTGTAAAACCAAAACTGTTCTAAAAAGGAAGTCTCTAATGAGAAATGTAATAGACCCAATTACCTTCTATGTATAAATGAATCTGTCTCTACTGCGTTGGCTTCTCTAAATCAGAACATCCCAACATGGGCCAGACTTTAGTCTTAACGAAAATATCTTAGGCCTGAAAAAGGCAGGATTCCTTTGTTTAATCTTTAAAGGAGATGTTCTGGGATCTGAAATGTGGTTAGAATCTTTCTTTCATTTTATACAAAACAATAACCTTGTTTGGGATGGGTGAATGATACACCTTCTATTTTTAATTAGGGAGAAGGACTACTGTGATGAAAGCACATTCTCAGTTTTAGAAAAAAGTTCATGTGGAAGTTGGGGATCAGGAAATCGATTCCTTAAAAGATATTCATGCCCTAAATGGTTTGGCTCAGTGGATAGAGCGTCGGCCTGCGGACTGAAAGGCCCCAGGTTCGATTCCGGTCAAGGGCATGTACCTTGGTTGCGGGCACATCCCTAGTAGGAGGTGTGCAGGAGGCAGCTGATCGATGTTTCTCTCTCATCGATGTTTCTAACTCTCTATCCTTCTCCCTTTCTCTCTGTAAAAAATCAATAAAATATATATATTTTAAAAAGATATTCATGCACTTTTACCTCTTAGCATATCTTTGCACATGATATATTGAAGACAGTTAAACTAATCTAATCCTTTGAATAAATCCTTATTTTTCTTGAAGATAGCCAGATTTGTTTCTGTTGCTTACTACCAAAGAAGTCTGTCTAACAACTGGTAATCCTATACCTAACCTTCTCAGCTTCCCAGAGATCTTTCCAAATACCCAGGATTATGGGTTCTTAGCTCTGCCCATGATAATCTTGAGCCAAAGTTGTTGATACTAGTTTTTCCTCTACACTTCACATCAATTCTCTGTATGGTTTACTTTCTTTTACTTTCCTGTATTCCTAGGCTTCATTACAAATGTCACTATTTCTTCTTGACTTTTGTTTTATCTCCTGCTACTATTTCCATTAGATCAATTTACTAAAATTAAAATACTTTTATTTGAAGGTAACGTCGCATGCATTCATCACACAAGGGGACTCGAATGTTAGAAATATTATTTTCCATACAAGCTCTTCCTAAATTAGAGATAAAGAAATACTCTTGCAGGGCCCTTCAAAGAAGTTTGGAAGAACTCAAGACTTTTTTAAAAATAAATTTCTTTAACTTAAATATACATTTAAATAGGTTTCTTTTGTACTTGGGAATCCTCCAAGCCTTAAATGTGCTAAGCCTTATTATAAGTCACCCAGAGGGGCATTTGCATGCTGCCTATTTGACCTTTTGTTCTCCGAGTACCAAATTAGCATCATTTTGATGTTCCCTAAGATAGTCTGAGAACAAGTCTGTATAATAGGAAAATTGTCAGTTTGTTGACCAAGAAATCTCTAGTGTTTATTTCTAAGACATGTTGCCTGCCTTCCTAGGCAGTTCACGTAGAACAACGTTTTAAGGAAGAACATCACCTGTTTTCAGAAGAGACTGAGATATATGGAGTTGTTTTGCCTTTACACTGTAACCACTTGGTTCCATGCAGGGAGGAGGGACCAGGGTTTGGTGGGGGAAGGGAGAGGTGTAGCGCAGCACCTCTTCCTTCTTCTCATAAGCTGTTCATGGTCTGAGCTGGTGCCTCTTTCAGTAAAAACTGAGAAACCAAGTACACTTTATGGGTTAATTCAGCTACTGTATGCTCTAAGCTTGGGAAGGAAACAAATGGAGCCAATAAATCACATAGGCTTTGTGCCTGTGGTTGTATTTGAGCTCAAAGACTTCGGATAATTTATGGCCAGGTTGACTGGATTTCCATGATTCTATAAGGCTGCGGAATGATTTTAAGTAAAAATCAATATTCATAATCGCTCCTGAAGACCCTTCCTCCAAGCAGCTGACAGCATTGAAAGCTCCCTGTGGAGTAGATAGGAAGCAGGTATTCTGGTTCCCACTTTAGATGAATTAACTAAAACTGGCTTTGTGCTGTGCGGCATTAGCATACCCGTGTACGTAGGCCTATGTGCTTATTAATTAATTAATCAAGTTACTTATTCAGGACATGCTCTCTCTTCAGAGGTATTGCATGGGCACGAGGAAGCGGGAAAGCAGGAGAATTATATGCACCTCTCTTTACATCCCGCAGGGGAAATGTGTCTACTTGTCAGAAACATGTTAGAACTGTGGAAAGTACGTGAAATCAGTCGTTTTAGTATTTTAAGTCATAGTTCTATTTGTTCTGTGACACTAGTAAAAAAGTTAAGTCCCCCCTTCTCCCAGAGATAGAAAAGCATAAAAAAAAGGAACCGAATGCTTTGAAACAGCTTGTTTGACAATGCTATCTACAGTGTCGCCTTGTGGTGGGGCCTGTGACTTGGTATCCAGTCTCTGCCCTGCTTTCTCCACAAGCACAGTGTCTCTTCTCACCACCTCTTTCAGCCCAGTCCCACTGTCAGTCCTGAACACAGTGTGGGGTGTGACCGTACCTGATAATTTAGGGTTAATGAGAGACTCAGGTTCAGCAGCTGACAGTGAGGAACTACCTCCCAAAGCTGCTTCCACTGTGAACCTTGTTGGGAGGAACTCCACGTGAGTTATCCCACACTTGGGAAAGTTTCTGTTGACCTTAGAAGTTCTATAGTTAGAAATACAGTCAGTTAAATAACTTCCCAAGAGTCACGTAGCATATTAGGTGGTGGAGCAGGATTTGTATTCCTAAAGCGAAGGTTTCCAATGTATCAGTTAGTCCCTAATTAATAACAAAAGTGTTAAGATCACAATGCTTTCAATGGAAACTTTAAGGGAAAATGCTTTTACATTAACTGGTTTCTTTCCAGACGAGAGAGGTACAATGACCACAGTCACTATTTTCATACCAAATAATAATAGGACTTACTATGAGCCAGTATCTTTTATATATATGAATTTACATTATGCCTTTACACATATTAACTCAATGAAACCTTATAGCCACCCTATGAGTAGGTATTGCTGTTATTCTCATTTTATAGATAAAGACTGAGCACAGAGAGGCTAAGTAAAAGCTGCCCTAACACTCAGGTAGGAAGTGGCTGAGCTGGGAGAATGAGCCCTGGTGGTCTGGTTGCCAAGATTTATACCTGGAGAATGATGCTATTGAGGAGAGAGGGAAGGTCACACCCCTTACCTGATAGAGGCTGACGTACTGTTTCCGCAGCCACTGCTGTCTTTGGTCAGGGAACTTCCTCATCTTTCTCACAGCTTTAGTGAGTTCCAACAACCCACTGAAGAGCATTTTAGCTGTGTGCTTTGGTGCCACAAAGTGCAGTAATCTATTGTCCGTGGTCTGAAGCCCATAGAGCAGTGTCACACCAGTCTCCGAGAGAAACATGCTACTCAGTTTGTTCTGAACACACACAGTGTGTATATCAATGCTAGGGTGCCCCATGTACACAGCCTTTACGGAAAACAAATCCAAGACCCCCTCCGCCAGGCCACTTAATCCAGCATTGCCCAGTAATGGGAATTTGCCAGGCTCGGACGTGGCAGTAGGCATACCAAGTTTTGCTTTTGCACTAGCTGGGGAGGCTGTGGTGGGCTTTATCCAGGTCAAGGTGCTATTGTCAGGCTGAAGCTGGAGGAAGCAGCGGGCAGAGAGGTGCGTGTCCTGGTCATAGTGGATGACCGTGGCCCCCTGCAGCAGGAACTGGTGCACGTCAGCTCGGATGGACAGCACGTACCATGGGATGAGCTCTATCCCGTGGTCAAAGGCCTTCTGTGGCTCTTCTAACCCATGAGGGTCCCACTCTTTGGGCTGTTCAAAGATGTCATTTTCTGTGTCCAGCAAATCTCCAATTACAAACCTGATGGAAAAAGATACAAATTTGGTCTGTCTTATAAGCAGAAGTGAGAACAACACAAAGCCTTTTACTGACACTGGACAGCATTTTTTATTCCACTATGAATTCAAATTAGCATAGAAAACATAAAATGCTAAAAGTCACAGTAATTTTTTATAGCTATCCTTGTATTCTAAAACCTTATATACAGTGATATTATAAACACAGGGATAAGAAATTACTAAGTTAGTTACGTATTTTAATGTCAACAGCAATCATCATTATGTATTCATTTTCCCTCTTGTGTCAGGAACTGTGTTAAATATTCTTACATACATTTTTGCACTTGACCCTACTTTCGAAGTAAGGTTTCTTGCTATTTTTTTTTTTTAAATCCTAAGAAGATACCTGAGGTTCAGAAGGGGTGGGTAACTCGCTCCAGGTTACCCAGCTCAGAAGAGGCCTACCCGAGGCAGGATTCTGGTCTGTCTGACTCTTTAGCCTGGAACCTTTACCACTAGGTTCTTACGCCTTCAACTTGATCATTAACAAGAGTCATGACCTGAATACAGCAGGGCTAAAGTAGGCAAATCAAGACTTAATAAGCTGGCCTGAGAAAAGCCTCTGTTAAAAATCAAACACATTAGTTCAAAGACACTTGTTGGGAAATAGAGTCAAGGCGGCCAGAGGAGCAAAACAGGTCTCCCTGACACAATCTTAGATTCTCACTGGGTGTGTATGCACACGCGCGTGCACACAAAGGACTTGTCTGCTTAGAAAAGTTAGCATGTTTCCTTCCCTGAGTGAGGAACCTGTGTTTTTAGAGCAAGAAGAATCTGGGAGTGGAGAGGGGGGAAGGCAAGGGAGATCACTGCCTCCTTTCTATCTGGTCGCCTGGGTAGGAACATGCCCAAGAGAGATTCATTCTCTTCAAAGCATGAGGGATTGTTAGTAAGAGCAAGGTTTCTGCTGTTTGACCCATACACATTACAAGCAAAGGGGTGAGTAAAACTGAGAAGGAGCAGGTCCACACATGTCTGGGAAGGAATGTTCCCATTGTCCTGAGGCGCTTGGGCAGCCCACTGCCTCTTGGGGAAGCATGAGCAGCAGCAGCACTGGGCTTCTTAGACTCAGTCTAGATTCTGGTCCCCGAGCAAGATCCCAGTCCTGCTTCCAAATAGCAGGTCTTCCTCCTCGCCTCACATAAATAGATATCCTTAAAAAAAGGAAAGAAACCTATAGGAGATCTCACAAATCTGAAGGTGAGAATATCCTTTTCAGGTTACCCACCCTGGAAACAACCCAAATGTTCAGCAACGATAAAATGGATAAAATATGGTGTACTCATACAATGTAATTCTGCACAGCAATGAAAATAATACCCAACAGCTAACTACGTGCAACAACATGGGCAAATCATAAGTAAGACACACAAGAAATAATACTGCATTTATATACATGTAAATTTCTAAATCAGGAAAAAATGTAGAAATGCATAATAGTGGTAAAATTATAAAGAAAAGCAGGACGTATTATCATAAAATTGACAGCAGTGAATTTTTCTCTAGGGGGAGAAATTAGTGATATAATTAAGAAGGGAAATAAGGGGTTTATGGGAGCTGGTAATGTTTCCACTCTGGATGGTAGTTATGCACATATTCACTTGATAATTATTCAAATACACCAGTTTTTAAGAAAATGTTAAATTTTGGAATAGTTTTAGATATGTAGAGAAATTGCAAAGAGAGTATACCTCTGCATCCACTTTACCCTATTATTAACATCTTATATTAAGGATGGAATATTTGACACAATTCGTAAACCAAGACTGATACATTACTATTCACAACAGTCCATACTCTATTTAGATTTCCTTCATTTTTCACCCATGTCCTTTTTCTGTTCCGGGACTCCATCCAGGACACCACATTGTACTTAGTTGTCCTGTTTCTTTAGGCTCCTCTTAGACATGACGGTTTCTCAGCCTTTCCTTGTTTTTGATGATCTTGACAGTTTTGAGAAACACTGCTCAGGTATTTTGTAGAATGTCCCTCAATTAGAATTTGCCTGATATTTTTCTTATAAGTAGACTGGGGTCCGAGATTCTGGGCAGGAAGCCCACAAAGGGAGTGCCATTCTCATCACGTTATATCCAGGGAACAGACTGTCAACATGACTTACCCCCGTTGACGCTGACCTGGGTGAGGGGGTGTTGGTCATGGGCTGTTTTTTATTTTAAAACCTCCTCTCTACACTGTCCTCTTTGGAAGGAAGTCACTAGGCGTAGCCCATGTGTAAGGAGTGAGGAGTTATGTTATGCTCTATCTCCTACAGGGCAGAGTATCTAATAAGTTATTTGGAATTATCCCTTCTCCCCCATTTTTTTATTTATCATTTATAAATATGAACTCGTGCATATTTATTTAACACTTTAGTTTATAATCTAATGCTACTTTATTTTGCTCAAATTGGCTATTGGGAGCTTTTGCAGTCGGCTCTTGTGTACTTTTTTAAAAAACAGCCCATGACCAACACGCCCTCGGCCAGGTCAGCGTCCACGGGGTAAGTCATGTTGACAGTCTGTTTTGTTGTTTTTCTAAGCACATCTCTACTTTCTGGCACAACAACATGTTCCTGGCTCATCTTGTGTGTTTCCAGCCCCCGTCTTAGAATCAGCCACTTCTCCAAGGAGCTTTGCTTTCTTCTCTTGAAGAAAGTTATTAGAAATCGAGATCTGGTTGCTCTGTGCAAAAATACATTCATTCTACTTTATGCACTTAATGTTCCATTTCCACATAAAAAGGTGAAGAAAGAAAGAAAAAAAAGTTCTTTGTAGACACTTAGTTCCATCCTTATGAAATTGCTCTCAGTACAATGGAAAACCAATACTTGTGTCCTCTTACATATGCTATACTGATGCCCAGGCCCCCACATATAGCATGTGATTGGGAACACGCCCTCTAGAATCACTCTATGTCTAATGGTCAGCTCCACTACCTATTTGCTGGTTGACCTAGTCAAATCACTCAACTTCTCTGAGCCTCACTTTACCTATCAGTTACTGGCAAAAAGACAATACCCATTTCACAGATAAATGATGAAGTTCAAGTAAAATAATGCTCGTAAAGCACACATCACAGCATCTGGCTCAGTGAAGTATACCACTATGATTAAGTATAGGAAGACGGAGGTTTCTTCCCTCCCACCTCTCCTTCCCCACTTCCGTTCCTGAGCCTAACCCGGCCCAGCTGTTCCTCTAGAGGGGCTTTCTTTAGACCACATCCAAGCCCTTTAATCTTTTTATTTCCTTTCTTTGGAACCATTTCCACATTCTCCATGTCATCATTTTTGTTTTTGTTTTGTTTTGTTTTTAAAGTACAAAAAGGATTCAATTGGGAAGTGTTAGTACCCATGAAATACAACATATGTTAAGCTGGACTTAAATTTCTGATTTTCATTTAGCAAGAGAAATGGTGTTTCCCATATTTTGTTTAGTTTGAGTTCTGAACTAAATCAAGTATTTTCCAGCCAAAAAAACAAACACACACCAAAAAACCAAAACCCCTTCAAGCATTAATTATGAAGAATAGTGTCTGGAAAGGAAAACTCTAAGCTTTTCTGGAGCCCATTTCTGCTGCTCAGAGATGGTGGGAGCTGGGAGAGGGTATAGACACCCTTTCTCGGAGTCAGTTTCTTCCTTCCTTCCTCCCTTCTTCCTTCCTTCCTTCCTTCCTTCCTTCCTTCCTTCCTTCCTTCCTTCCTTCCTTCCTTCCTTCCTTCCTTCCTCCCTTCCTCCCTCCCTCCCTTCTTCCTTCCTTCCTTCCTTCCTTCCTTCCTTCCTTCCTTCCTTCCTTCCTTCCTTCCTTCCTTCCTTCCTTCCTTCCTTCCTTCCTTTTCAGAACTAAAGAACGAATGCTCAGTGTTAATATTCCATTACAAAGCATTCTTCCAGGGACGAGCGCCCAGATAAAACTGACAATTGTCTGTAAAGAAATAAGTTCCTTTCGAGAAGGAACCTAGCAGCTTTGTCTCTTAGTGGATTTTATGCACTTCTGTACCTGACCCTCTCAGGAGACACGTTTCTGTGGGTTTACAAAAAGGAATAAGGTGGAAGTTAAGGATTTATTTAGGAACCAAATAACATTAACTAAATGTCAAAGATGTGGTTTACCGGTAAAGAAACTACCTTGTCAAACAAGTCATACGTCTTGAGAGGACAACGGAGTGAAAAGAGAAGGAAAGTTTGTATCCCACCCCCGAGGGCTTCTGTAGCAGCCTCCAGTTAGAAACCATACATTGATGGATAAACACTTTTCTAATGTTCCCTGATGAAAATATCCTACTAGGGGACAAGTGCATTTTCTTAATAACCCTTCATGACTTCCTACAAAGTTAATATGATTACCTGAACATACTTCATCAGGTGATAAGCCTAAATTAATTTTGTAAGATCAGAGAAAATGTATACCTTTTCCAAAGGACTAACTATAGCTGCTCTCTAATAACATCCAGACTTTTAAGCTTGCTTCTGGCAAGTTCTTGCTTTTAATTAACCTAGCACTTTCCTCAACAACCAGCAGCTTCTAAATCATATCTGGGTGGTGTGTGGGCTTCGGAGCCCGTTAGCTTGAGGTTACATCCTGGCCCTGCTGGGCGAGGGATCACGAGGAAAACGCAACTGCTGTGAGGATTGAATAATGTAACAGATGTAAAATATTACGACAAAGTTTCCTAAAAGTGGCTCTCAATAAATAACAGCACGTTAAATATTACTAATGTCATTATTGTCGGGACTGTATTTACAATGTCAGTATGAGGCTCCGGACCCGGAATGGATTCCCAAGTCCTGGAAACAGTGCCTGCTGGTCTGCTGTCAGTGACTTTATCAAACACCCCACGCCCGCCTCCTGTGTCCAGCGCTTCATTTCAGAGTCGCGGTCACTTGGGGTAAAGAAACTGCTCCTGGTACCGAGACACAGAGGTTACAATGTGAGCATTTCAACATGGCTTCACAGGTTTTGTAAAAGAAATATTTACATTTTTGAGCCTTTCTCCCTCCTCCTAAGAGTGCTTAGAAGCAGGATCTGGAAAATGGGAAGCGGAAGAGAAATGTTCTTAGGATGTAGACGATAAAACCGTTAGGAAGAGAACAAGAGAATAAGCAGAAGGTTGGAAATAAAAATGTCATGAGAGGTGACAGGATTAGGTAAGAAATTTATCACTTGAAGGAACCCCCAGCAAAAGGAAAAGATGGTGAAGGCGAAGGGAAAGCTCAGAGGCTTGGTCTCGGAGGCTCAACCAAAGGTAACACTCCTGAAGGGATTTTAGAACGGTGGACACGTTTAATTAACACCCTACCCCAAAACAAGTAAAGGTTGTTATAAAAAAAGAGCCATATGAAATGCATTATTTTATCTATTCAGGGATGATATTTCCCTTACAGGATTTAAGGAATGAATTTTTGCCAGATCTCAATATGAAGAAAAGATTTTCCCAAATGTCTGTTTGATTTTTCTTACAAATATTGTGAAACTTGTGATAAATCATGACTCCATCTTCCCTCTGGCCATTAAGAATCTCAGAACAAAATTAAGTCACTATAAAGAATGTAGAGCATACACTTTTGTATTATTTCTCCCTAACTTATTTTCCTTAATATCTTCAATTATTTATATTTATTCTCATAGGCATCTACAAATTTTTTTGTGGAAGGAGGTAGATATATACATAGATACCTACACAGGTTAATAGAGATAGATAGAGGTTAAGACCTTAAATGGCTATGAGACGCTCCTTGGGTAGACATGTGCTTATTTGTAAGTGGTCCCCTAATACTGTATATGCTAACACATATATGATGCTATATATAGAGATATATTTATATATACACACACACACACACACACACACATATATACACACATATACATATATACATACACACACACACATACACACACACACACATATATATGTATAATACTAATGTCAACACACTGTTAGTGAGAAAACTTTCAAGTAATCTCTGAACTGAGATAAACTTAAAAGAAAGCTACCTGTGAGACATTTGAGCTTTAGGGCTGGGACACTGGTGAGGGCACTAACAGTTCACCGCTGAGCACCTGAGTCCTCTGTGGAGGAATGAGCAAGGAAGTGAAGTCTGGAAGGAGGCCCGAAGAAATTTGGAATATAGGTTTACCTCCTTAAAACATGATAGCATTAGGGGTTCAGATACAAAGCATTCATTTCTGTGTTCACCACTGAGTCTAAGTATCCAGTACTCCAATTCCAAATAAATTATTTTCTGAAAACACTGTCACTCTTCCCATCGTAGGCTCACATACATACACAGACAACCGGGAAAGACTCTGCAAAATGAAAGCAATGGCTTATGAACACACACACACACACACACACACACACACACACACACACACGTATAAGGACCCTAAGACAATGGCAAGGTCTGACTCATGAGTACTGTTTACAATAAAACCTTTCGTGGCAAAGATGCCAACATCAGTAGACCTAACAGTTTTAGAGGTGTGAAGGATTCATTCCTCCAGCTGGGCCAGGCTCTGCCATTTGAGATGGGCTTGACCGTGACTAAACGGCCTTGAAGAGAAGCAACGCATGCCCCCTGGTTTCTGGTCTTCCATTTGGTTGTGGGTAAGCACATCTGGCTAGATTGCAATGCCTGCTGAAAAATAGCAATTGGGACAACTAAACAGTTGCAAAGCTGAGGTTGTCATCTCACAGAGCTGTGTTTCTGAAAGTGAGATCCTTGACCACCTGACTTAGAATCACTCAAAGGTTGGGGGAAGCTGCTAAAAATACTATCTAGGTCTCACTCTACCCCTACTAAATCACTATATTTCATTTAAAAGTGTTAATACTCACCACTCCTGTGTTCCACTCAGTGATTATTAAAAACTATTTACATAGCAACTATGAAATAAACAAATGGGACCATGGTTCTAATCCTGAAATTTAATTGGTTGAATTTTTAGAAATAGCAGGGTAACTCTAGTTTCCTTTAGAGCAGTGGTTCTCAACCTGTGGGTCGCGATCCCTTTGGCGGTCGAACGACTCTTTCACAGGGGTCGCCTAAGACCATCCTGCATATCAGATATTTACATTACGATTCATAACAGTAGCAACATTACAGTTATGAAGTAGCAACGAAAATAATTTTATGGTTGGGTCACAACATGAGGAACTGTCTTTAAAGGGCTAGAAGGTTGAGAACCACTGCTTTAGAGGGCTAACCGATGGCAAGAAATTAGATTATAAGCAGTAATTTTAGAACAAAGCAGCCAAATTAAAAAGAAAAATTCTTTGAACACGAGTGACAGGGCTGCTGGGGAGTGTCTGAGAAGCCATAACCTCCCCTTGGGACCTCCAGGCTGGGAGGGGAGGACAGAGCCCCCAGGAGCAAAGGGGGCCATCTGAGGCCAGGATGGAGACAGGAGGCTGAGCCAGGTAGGGGAATCAGGGCTGCAGACAGGACCAGGAAGGAACCGAGGACCAGGCAGTGCCAAGACCAGTGCCCGGAGGTCCCCTCTCATGTGTGCTGCCACCAGTCACTCTTCCCGTCCCTGAGCAGAATGTGCCAAGCATCCCGCTGGCCTGGGCCAGATGGTTCTGTATATAGGGTCCATGTGCAATAGGGAGGAATGTCTTCTATTTTTTGCTGCTCCCTCCCTGTCACTGTCTGGGGCAGGGGGATAAGGTATATTCGAGACATAGCACAGGCACCACAAATAAAAGTTGTGAAATTGCAAAAAAAAAAAAAAAAAAAAAAAAAAAGGAGTGGGCCACCAGCCAAATGTCTCTTCCCTTCCCCCTGGCCAGCCAGTCCCTGATCAAACACCTCCAAACCCAATAGGGGGCAGGGAAGGGTGGCCAACCTCCTGCAGCCCCTCCCCCTGGCCGGCCATCTCCTGATGGGCCCCCATCACCCAGATTGGGCCGCAGCCCCTCCCCTTGGCTAGCCCCACCTCTGATCGCCACCCAACACACACCAATAGGGTGCGGGGCTGGCCAGCCAATCTCCTGTAGCTCCTCTCCCCACCCGGCCCCTACCCCAGATTGGCCCCCGACCCCAATCAGGGGCAGGACCGGCCAACCACCCATAGCCCCTCCCCCAGGCCGCTGGCCCCCAATCGTCACCCCACACCCCATTCGGGGGCGTGGCCATCTGGCCCACCACCCACAGCCCCTCCCCATGGCCAGCCTGCACCCAATCGGCCCCCAACCCCAATCGGGGGTGGGTCCTACCGGACAATCGCCTGTGGCCCTTTCCCCCAGCTGGCCCGCCCTGATTGGGTCCTGATAGGGGTATGGCCAGCCGGCCAACCTCCCACCATCTCCTCCCCCAACAGGCCTAGCCCAGATCAGCCCTGATTGGGGCTGGGCACTGGGCCTCTAGTATAGTAATAAAGATGTTTTAGAAAAAAAAAAAAAAATCCTTGCCCAGCGCGTATGGCTCAGTGGTTTAGCGTTGACCTATGAACTAAGAGGTAACAGTTTGATTCCTAGTCAGGGCACATGCGTGGGTTGCAGGCTCTATCCCCAGTGTGGAGTGTGCAGGAGGCAGCCGATCAATGATTCTCTCTCACCACTGATGTTTCTAACTCTCCTTCTCCCTTCCTCTCTGAAATCAATAAAAACGTATTAAAAACATTCTAATTCAGAATTGGTAATGATGGGAGAGAAAGAAGCATTGCTTACTGATAAAGGTAGATTTTTTTAGGCATCTACCTGAAACCAAACCGAAGTAGGAAGAAGGAGCAATGAGCACCCTCCTTCCCGTTAAATGCAAACTCACTGGCAGCGAGGAGCTTTGTCCTTCAGGGAGTTTTTCCGAGAGCCGCTCCCCTCACTGGGGCTGTCCTCGTCCTCCGCCTCCAGACTGCGGCTGCAGCTCCTGATGATCTGAAAGATGCTGTTGACGGTGGACTCTTTTTCCGAATTCTTCAAACCATTTTGTCCCACACGTTGTAAAAAATTATCTTGTCCACTGTAGTCAGCTACAAACTATGGAAAAATATACCAAGAGATGGTTATTGAGATTTCATACAGTATATCTAAATAACCTACATGACTACAGAAATGAAATCATAATAGTCATAAATAATGGTATTTGTGCCTATTTTATTGGGAAAAAACAAGAACCTCCAGGAAACACATTTTTCCCCTTTCACCACATGAACTATCAAAACTTATTCTTGTTTTCGCTAAGACAACTTTAGTCCCTCTAGGAACTAACACTGCACTTGGGATTGAAAACACAAAAAGCAGTATTATTCCAAGGTTCCCTAGAGAGAAGATTAGCCACTTCACCTCGGAAGGGCAAGGAGAATTGAGAACCATGAAAAAGTATACTATACTACGGAACCAGGTAAAATCACTGAGCAAGGTGGAATTTGCTTTACTTCCCATGTGTCCTAAGGTGACACAGAGGCTTCCTGGGCGTGTTTGCACTCTTGTCCTCTGTGTCTTGATGGGAAGTTTCTCCCACCCCCTGCTACAGTGGGGCCTTGAGATGTGGCGTTCCCTCCTTCTGAAGCACGAGGGAGCTGGTGTGGGTGCGGCTGGGGGACTTGCTTTCAGTGTTCTCCTTCATTTCTTACACTTTCATTCCCCTTAAATAAGCCGAGAGATGGAGCTGGCTGAGTTGTCTGTAACCGTCAGGGGCTGTCAGGTCTCCCTGATACCAGGAGACGCCTTTGTGACCAGGTGACATAGAAGAGGCTGGTGTTTTAGAAGAGTCTTCCCACTGCCACCGAGAGGGAGTGCGTGTGCATGCGTGCGTGCAGGCATGTGTGTGTGTGTGTGTGTAAGATCAGTGGGTACTGCCCCCATGGTGAGAATGACCCTTCCAGGTGTGTCCTACAACTGAATCGAGTTCCAGGACTCCTCAAAATTCTCCATGAAGTTACCCTCCCATTTAGTCTCTCCTTTCATTTCTCCACCTAAAATAGGGAGGTTTCTTACCTTCGTCCAGTTTCCCAGTGTCCCTCCTCTCCAGTGCCCAATGCCCCAAGGCAAAGCTCACATGGTCCTCTCCTCTCTGGGAGTCAGAAACAGGAAGCAATGGGCCTGGGACAAGTGAGGCAGCCATGGCCAGCAGCCTGGAGCCCATCTTCAGATGAGGCACCAGCTTTTCCATCGTCCCCCCTCCCCACCCAAAGAAAGAGAGGAAGGCACTGCTGACTTGCTCACATTCTTACTTCTGCCGATTTGGAAAAGTTAATACTCTCACCTGACTTCCTTTATCCTCTGCATCCAGACATCCCCAACCAATGAGACAGAAGAAAACCCCATCAACCTTAAGAAAAAAATCAGAAAGCAATGCCCATTTCCACTGGTGCCTTCACATTGTCCCACTAAAGCTAACTTAACCAGCCCTGGCTGGGTTGGCTCAGTGGATAGAGCGTTGGCCTGTGGACTGAAGGGTCCCAGGTTCGATTCCAGTCAGGGGCACATGCCCGGGGTTGTGGGCTTGATCCCCGGAAGGGGGTGTGCAGGAGGCAGTGGATCCATGATTCTCTCTCCTCATGGATGTTTTTCTCCCTTTCCCCCTCCCTTCCCTTCTGAAATCAATTAAAAAAAAAAAAAACTAACTTAACTATCCTCAGCCCCAAACAGTGCCGGTTGGTGTTCTGTTCTCCGTGATCTGCACAGCAGTAACAACAGACCCCTGGGGTCACGGAGGCATCCCTCCTCACTGAAGTGAGTGACAGCCAGGGACAGCAGTGAGGCTCCGGATGGCGGATCGCGAGGACTGCGAAAGGCCTCACCTCTAGAGTTTCCTCCTGGGAATTGTATCTGGGGCAGAGCTTCACGAGGCCGGAGGCGCCATCCAGCACTTCACAGAGCTCCTTCAGAAACACCCCGCAGAACGGGACCACCCTGCAGCCCGGGATGTGCAGCGCCCGCGTCACCACCTTCCTGTACTCGCAGGAGGATTCGTGCTGAGCCATGGCATCCTTCAGACTCCTCATGGTCTCCAGGTCAGACTGGTCCATGAACTGCCACATTTTTAAAACTTTTCTTGACCTATTTGCAAGTAAATGACACCTTTTTTTCAGACGGAAGGAGAAATAATAGGGTTTACAGTACATAGCCTAAATTCTATATAGATTCATTCTTTTTCTCTCTGTTTTGATATTTATTTAGGATCCATATCTCTACCTACTCCCCAAATGATGTCTAATATTACTTTTATAAATTGAAACACAAAATGAGACAGGACCGATACAAACGAAAACCCATGTGGAAGGCGTCAGTTTGGAAGGTGGGCACTGAACTTAGGCGGGAGCTTTCCTAGCAGCGATGCCCAGAGGGAAACCTCTGGGGAACAGTGTTCACACCAGTACTGATGGAGGGTTGCCTGCAGGAAACGTGTCATCCACTCCTCTTGATCCTTTCAGTGTGACCCCTGGATTCGACAGTCCCTCAGCGGTGCACGTGAGGCCTGCTTCAGCCTCTTTGCTTTTACTGACTCCAGCTTTGACTCAAGCCACTGGCCCATCCTGAGGGACATGACCTTGAAGTATTATTTGCATAAAAGGATGTTACATGGGACTTTCCTATTTTGAAATTGCTGCTAAGGAGAGGTTCCAGGTTGTTACTGAAACTGCTCTGCACCCCAGTGGTCTCGTACCCACCACCAGCCACGACTGCATCTGGTCGGCTGGGTAGAGAATACTATCAGTGTTATGGGGAAAGGGGACATCACCTGAAGTTTGGGGGCTTCAAGTGGACTCTTTAGAGAGGTGGACCTGGGTCCTGGGAAGTTTGTGGATCACACAGACTGGTGTGTGACTCTTGCCTGGGAAAGTCTGACAAGAGAAGCTGCCATGTGAGGGAGAAGGTTCCAGTGGGTGTGTCATGCGTTTGCAGTCTGAGAGTGTTTCCTGTGAGTCCGGAGTGGACACTGTGCCAGGCAGTTAGCCCTGCACTATCTTAAAAGGTCCGCCTGCCAAATGAGGTGACTCTAGAGGAACGTCTGGGAGGGCAGGGCCTCCGGAGCTGGACCCTGGGGACTGAGGGTGCATTGCCTCTTGCCAGGCAATGGTGCCATGGGAGGTGGAGGATGTTGGGGGCATAACTAGAAAAAAACCCCAAATCACCCCATACAGCTCTCTCTATGGGAACACCGAGGCCAGATTACAGCTGTTCCGGTCCAGTAAGACTCCTCCTTCCTCTACCCTGCTTCCTTCTCTGCTCTCCTGTCCACCTTTCCTGCAGGACCCTGAGGTGGAGGGAGGGAGAGAAAAGATATACCATTCCTTTTCATCCTACTGCAGCTTCCTGAGACTGGTTGGGCTGCAAAATATGGGAAAGGGTAAAGCTTTAAATTAACTGAGAGGCTGCAATTTTTATTTATATCAAACTGGATTGAAATTTCGTTATGTAATATATAAAGTATTTGAAAGAATAAAGAAATATAATGTGACAAACACCCATGTACCAACCTCTTGGTTTAAAAAATAAAACATTAATAATATGGTTGAGTCCTGGCCAACACTGCTAAGTGGTTAGAGCGTCAGCCTGAAATCCAAAGGGTCACAGGTTCGATTCCATATGTGGGTTGCAGGTTCCCCACCCCAGTCAGAGCAAGTGTGGGAGGCAACCAATTGCTGTGGGTCTCTCACATCGATGTCTCTCTCTCTCTCTCTCTCTCTCTCTCTCTCTCTCTCTCTCTCTCTCTCTCTCTCCTCTCCACCTTCCCCCTCCCACTCTCCCTAAAATCAATGCAAAAAATATCCTCCAGTGAGGATTAACAACAACAACAGTACGGTTGAGGCCCCAGTGGATTCCTCCATTGAGGACATGCTCACCCCTCTCCCGCACCAAAGGGGACCACAGCTGTGACTGCAGTGATCTCATTCCCAAACAGGTCTTTTACTTCCACAACATGTGTATATGTCATTAAGCAGTTTGTAGAATTGGCTGTTTTGTAAACTGCATATAAATGGTGTCACACTGTACACTCTTAGACAACCTGCTTTTTTTTTGCAGGGATTCACTCACACTCATGAGCATAGGTGAAGGACAGCTCATTAACCACACCAGTGGCTGGGAAAGTGACAGGCTCGCCCACGGTGTAATCCAAGCCAAGGGAGGGAGGGCCAGCTAGCAGGTTTGAAACACAGTGAGGTCAGGAAAATAAAAGTTTTTCCGATTTCACCCCTTTAAGTCCAGCTAGTCCTACAGCTGGTTTCTTATCGGCTGGTGAAAATCTATTTTTGGGCATGAAAAGGAGGTATAAATAAACGAAGTGAATAAATGAATGAGACATGGTTCTCATTACTTGATCATCCTTTCCGTAACAGAGTAGTCAAACCTCAGCAAAGATCAATGTTTGTTTTTTTTTGTTAGATTGAGAATTGACACTATTTTAAAACTTTTATTTCTTTTTTTTGATTATAAAGGTACTAGAGCAGTGGTTCTCAACCTTCTGGCCCTTTAAATACAGTTCCTCATGTTGTGACCCAACCATAAAATTATTTTCGTTGCTACTTCATAACTGCAATGTTGCTACTGTTATGAATCGTAATGTAAATATCTGATATGCAGGATGGTCTTAGGCGATCCCTGTGAAAGGGTCATTTGACCGCAAAGGGGTCGCGACCCACAGGTTGAGAACTACTGTACTAGAGGATCATTGTAGAAAATCTGGAAAATACCAAAAATACAGGAAATCCACCCAAAGATCTACCATCCACATACAACATTAGGTATCTTTCCTTCTAGTATTTATTCTATTTGTGTCTGCCTGGTATAAATATTCTATAAACTTTGATGTATAAATATTGCGGAGGTTATTACATATAGCTTTGTTCCCACATATTTTTGTGTATTATGTTACTTATTTTCCAATGATATTAAAAAATTGTCATAAACATTAATTTTGGTGGCTAAATAACATTCCAGTGTATGGATGTGTCCTATTAGTTCCTTCATTTTTTTCTTGTTCATTTGGGTTATTTTAAACTGACACCATGACTGAATAAGTATTGTTATATGTAAATCTTTGTATTTCTAATTGTTTCCTTAAAATAGCTGAGAATTTAGTTTGAGGAAGCAAAATGTACAATTAGAAAACCAAAATCATTTAACAATAAGGCTGCTCTCTCTTTCCATCCAATTGCTTAAAGAAAACTTTAGTTATCTTGATGCAGTTCAATTACTTATAATCTAAATATTTTCAAGCCTGAAGGCACGAACACTAGCTCTAGCTCTAACTCTACCATTATTCTATCATAAGAACATCTAGCAACTTATCTCTTGTATCTGACATAAAAGAACAAAGAAATCCCTCAAGATTAGCGGGTACCTGATGGAATGATTTGTATTGATTGCCACTACCGACGGCCTGTTTTGGGTACATGTGGTTACCAGGGCAGTTAATTCAGTGCCATTCAGCTCGTAAGAGGAAGCTGTGCCCAGACAGCCGTATTCCCCACTGCGCATACCTGAGGCCGGCCAAGAACTCCATGACGGTGTTGTAGTTGCCCATGTTCCAGCAGCATTTGGCCACATGCACCAAATATGAGAAGACTTCCCGCTTCTCCTCCATGGAGCCGGCTGTGAGGATCAGCCACGTCACCCAGGAGCTCACCTGGAAAGTGCAGAGAGGGGCACTGACTGAAACTATGTCCTGGAAGCTTGACAAATATATATTTTTTCTCACAAAAAAACTGTTTTTCTAATAATCTTAGTATTAGGTAGTGAAGGATCCAGCCAAGGGACTAAGGTGACACTGTCACTGACTCTCCGTCACGGCTTTGCAATGGGAAAGTCATGTAACCTCTCTGTAGTCTTTATCTTCATTTTAAAAATCAGTAGGCTGGCCCTGGCTGATGTTGCTCAGTGGCTAGAGCACAGTCCTGCATACGGAAGGGTCTCAAGTTGGATTCCCGGTCAAGGTCATGTACCTGGGTTGCAGGTTTTAACCCCAGTCCGGACAGGCGCAGGAGGCAACTGGTTGATGTGTTTCTCTCACATTGATGTCTCTATTTCTTTCTTCCCCTGCTCCACTCTCTCTAAAAATCAATGGAGGAAATATCCTCGGGTGATGATGAACAAAAAAATAAAAATAAAAATAAATAAAAGGAGGCTGAAAGGCAATTCATAAAATCTCTTTTGATCTATACAATCCAATGAAACTATACAAAAATAAGGCCAAAGGATAATGATTTAAATTATTTGACCAATGGACAGCAAGATTAAATGCAATCAGTGCACTTAGCCCATCCATGAAAGATACTTATCAGTAGTAAAATACATAATATCAAGTGAAAAACTACATTTTTTGAGCTATCTTCTACAAATGCATTATCTATTATGCTCCCCAAATGACTAAGCAAAACTGAGAAGAACAAATACTTATATAACACTTACGATGTACCAGGAATTGTGTTAAGCACTTTACATAACTCATTTATCTCTCACAACAATCCTAAGAGTCAGGGACTACTATTATCCTCACTTTATAGAAGAGAAAACTGAGGGACAGAGGCCTAAGGGACTTGCCCAAGGTCCCCAACCAAAAGGTGGCAAATCCTGAATTTGAACTTAGGTGTGTGCCCCAGAGGTGACACTAATTACCTACTTACTAAATGCCTAATGTGTATATGGAAACGCTAATGTTGTCTAGCTCTGGGCTTACATTTATTTTAATATGATTTGACTTTTCTACGCAGATTGGAGTATGATATTTAAGAATAACCGAGTACTAAGACCCCCTTTACGATATGCAGCCTCACAATCCTCTGCTTAGTCTCTGAGATTATTTTTCTGCTACTTATACTTTGGTGCTTGGACACTAGCATTCACTTAAGTTGCTTTCTTCATCTTGGCTACTGTCTGGGCTTATAAGCTCAGTTTTTAACAAACAGAAGCTCTGATCTTAACTCCCCATGGACCATTAGTTGCACTTGGTTCAAAAACAGTGTTGAAACCTGAGCGGGTGGGGGAAGCAGGGGGGAGACACTTGCTTCTCTGGCCTGAGTGAGAGTGAGGCGTCAACAGAGTTGATGGTGACTCATGACAACGGCAGGAAGAAGAGTTCTGTATGCACTCCTGTAAAATGAGAGGAATGTATGCACTGCCATAAAGTGATAGGAATGAATGGCCTTTACTGCTGGCAGCCACAACAGAGGGCAGTCCAACCCCATTTTCCAGGTCAGGAATCTATGGCTCATGGGAGAAGTGACTTTCTGAGGTCACAATTCTTGTTGATGTCAAAACTAGGACTCCCAGTCGGGTGCTCTTTCACCTGATGAAGGGTGACAGTTTCCACGGGGCATTGGTTAGGTCCATCTAAGCCCTCAGTAAGAGGACAGAACTGGAAAAAAAGAAGATATCGAGAAGAGTGCCACACACACAAAAAAATGGTTAAAGAACAAAATAGACCAGAAGAGATCGATGCTGAACACCCTTTTCTTCTCCCCACTCAGGAACAGGTAGAGAAATAATAGCAACATGGAGCTGCAGTGATAAGACAGCATCACACTCTGGTAGCAGCCAGGAGCACTGCAGTGATCCCTGCCTCCTCCCGGCCCAGCCCAGGGGGCTCTGAGCATGCTCCTCTGCTCTCTACCTGTCTGGACTTCGCTGGGTCCTCATGCAACATCAGGAGAGATTAGGCATCAACCCCCCTAGGATGAGCTCTGGTCCTGTTCACCCTGCAAGGACTTCTGAGTCTCCCGGGGAAAAGATACCCATTTATTCCAATCTCTCAGGGCTGCTTGGAGCACAAAGGATTTCCCTCTGGGATTTGCAGAGCCAACCCCTTCCCTGTAGCTAAATAAGCCCTTGCTCACCATTTCCAAGCCTTGTCCCTTCACCTGGTTACCCAATTAAAAGTCACCTTTGTGAAACCCTGGCTCTCCAGAGCACGAAATTATTTTGCTGATAGAGACTGAGTATCTTTGGTGCTTCTGTCCAATTCTTCCTGTAGCGTGATGTGTGTCCGATAAGCCCTATCCTGCTGTGGGAATTCGCCAGAAAACACTTAGAATCATAAGATCATCAACTCTTTGAGCTAGAAATTCAAACCTGTCACCTTACAAATAAAAATGAAATCGTAGAAGTTAAAATGGTTCCTCAAGGACATCCAATGGATTAGTTTTTGAGGCCTTTGGCTATATCTTTCTGTAGCTTTAGCTCCGTTGTATTGTTTTTGAAATTGATGTCAAATCATGTCTCTGGAAAGTCGTGGTTCTTTCAGGCTATTCTGGTGATTCATTAGCTCAGTAGTCTGAAAGGGTTAACTCCTCTTTCTCTGGAGAGTCCTGCTTCATGGAGCAGAGACCAGCACATGGTTTGTGCCTCAGTCCTGATCAAGCATCCAGATTTATTTCCTATCAGTCAAATGATTTTCCATATACTTTCCCACAATGCTAGGAAAAAAATAGAGATACCGTATTTCACATGGAAACCTAATTTAAACCAACTGTTCCCTCTCCGAGTGTGAGTCCCTAGGGTCTGGTTGTTGAGATTATGTAAGCACTGTTATCATAAACACACACACACACACACACACACACACACACACACACACACACACACACCCCAACATCTGTTTACAGACTTCAGGGACAATTCTTATTGCTGCCTAATGCATTCACAACTTCACAGGCATTAACTGATGGGAATGCCATCACTGATTATAAAAAATAAACGACACATAAGGAAACAAGGATTTGGCGACCACTGTAAAATGTTGCCCAAAGCATAAACAGTGGCTACGTTTACTAAGTGGAAAATGCGATGTGTTGCCAATGCAGAGTAATTTCCAGGACATAAATCACACAGGAAAACGCACAAGTCGCCTACGTATAAAGTACTACAACTCAAGCATAGGGAGCATCTCTGAGTGGAAAGGTGTTAAATGTGGCAAATTATTTGGCCTCATTTCCATGGTCAGCACAGAACAAAGAGCCAATCTGGGCCTCCGCCCAATTCTGTTCGCGTTCCTCCCGAGGCTCTGAGTTCCCCTTGATGCCCCTGGTCCCTTGGCACATGCCCACAACTCCTCCACAGTTGCTCCTCTCCAGATGTCTTCTTTCTTCCTGCTCTTGCTTTTCTCAGTCCTCTCAGGCCCAGCCAAACCGAACAGCTTGCTTTCTCTTCTCATATCAAATACCTTATTGGCATCACACGAGCTTAGCTTGGAAGGAATGTTCTTGCTCCATTCAAAACGACCTCTCCTGGCCTACCATGTCCTTACCTTGGCCCACCAGGCCCCTGTCCATTCTCCAACCTCACCCGGCTCTCCCCAACACCCTGCTTTTAGGAAGGTGACCAAGGACGTTTTCCATCTCAGGGATCTTGCACTGGTCCTTCCTTCCAGAAGAAGGCTTACCCTCTTACACCGCCCTCCTGCCAATTTAACTAACACCTACTTATCCTTTAGGCAGAAATGTCCTTAGACCCTGCAGTCGGAATCCCTGCCCTGAGCAGTACACTGGCTGAGGTAGCTGTGTCCCTCTCCATAGAGTGAGAAGCCAGTGGGGTGGGGGGGACATGTCTGCCACCGTCTGTGCACCCACTTCCAGATCATGACTCCTGAATGCCCTGTGCAAAGGGCCCAAGCCCACTGTGGGCCTTTGATCTGGATCAGTCTCCTGAGGATAGATCAGACTCTAGGCCTGAAGGCTGGCCAAGGAGTAGAGGGGAGTGGCATGTGGACAGAGTTTGAATTGGAGGCCTGAGGTGCCCACACATGGCACACCTGCTAGGATGGAAAGAGGTGGGCAGGCTACAGGTGGGGGCCTCTTTATACTTTTTCCTGGGTTTCTGGCTGCAGTCAGGGGCAGGGCTGCCTTCAGGAATCTGATGAAAGCATCATTTTCTCAAGGAGGCCTGCTCTGACTTCCCACCTGGGCCAGTGCCCCCATATATCCTTGACCCAGCCTCCCTGCACAGTCAGCACCATGTTCCCCAAAATGCAGACGTCAATGCCCACCACGTAAATGCTGAATGAGAGTTGGCAAATAAGTGGATGGGACCTTTTCTAGGAAGGCTCTTCTGATGACCTCGCCCTTCACATTCAACTTCTTCCTGTTCCTCTCTGACTTAATGTTGGACCTTGAGTCCATAGTGACGTCTGCGCTTGGATTTTCCACACTGCATGGGTCTATTTTTGCTATATTTGTGTTCCTGACTCTTTCACATGGGCCTGCTCTGTTTCCCTGACCAGACCTTATGTCCTCAAGGACAGAGACCATCTTTCCCACATGTCCACCGTGGGGATGCTCGGTGCCTCTGACCGACAGGCGGGCCACCGGAGTCCCAGGAGGCCGCGGGCAGAGAGGGTTCTCAGCCTCCAAATGGTCAGGGATTATATTTGGGAAAAGGCCCAAACACTTCCTATGGCTGTTCCAAGGTCCAGAGAGAGAAGATAAATTACTTTCTGCCAAAATGTGTCTTGAATATGCTGAGCAGAAGTTTTCATAGAAAGTTCCTTTTAATGGGTTCAGCATCCCCCCCCTTTCTTTTTGTTTTACCCAAGTCTTACTCAATCATTATTTTTTTTTTACCAATACTGTGAATCTCCATCTCTTAACTGTGCCTGAGACTTGGAACCAGGAAGGAGAAGCCAGGGGTGGCGGG